GGGCTGGTCGAGCCTGAGGTACCGTTTGACGTATTTGTTTGGAGGCCTGTGTGGTTGCTGTTTCCACTGGATCAATTGGACTTACGTACATTGGCACTTTAGAGCTATTGTGTTGGGTGGAGAGTTTTATTAGAGATTGTAATAATTTTTAATTATCAGGTATGACATTGAGGGAAGCCTTAGAATATGTTAAATCTGATATTAAACTTAATATCCAAACAATAGCAATGGAATACCCTAACTTTTTTTCTTGGCACTCTTTTCCAGTTGCTCAGTTGATAGTTGATTAGCCAATAATAGGGATGAAAATTTCACCCCCTCCTTTCTTGACAATCTAGAAATGAGAATGCAGAGAAATGCAGGGAGGACTGCAGGAAATCCTCAGGTCATTGTGTCCCAGTCAAAGACTAGGGGTTCTAAGCACAGCTGTGGGTTTATTGTGCCATATTGGAAGAACATAGAATACAGCAGACTAGTTTAAGGTCAGGTGTGCTCCATTTTATGTAAGTCCATTTAGTTTCATTCCGTTATTCAAAAGCTATTTAAAGCCTTTTACCATCTTGAGTTTTGCAGATAAGGAAGGATTTTTAAGGAGAGCAGAGAACTCTCTGTTCACAGAGACTTCACATCTAATAAACAGACAAATATACAATCATGATCTTTTGATATAATGTGATTCTTTCTACAGAATTCGAGGAGAGTAGTGGAAAAGATGCAAGTATTCTTTAGTACATTCAGTTATTTGTTTAAAGGAGTGGACATTTTGGGGTAGAAAGCAGGGCAACCTGTAACTTCTTTGTCACACACCTTGTGAGTGACACACTCTATTCCAACCCCATCTGAGATCATTTTAATACCCTGAAGCCATTCCACATCATTTTTTGTACTCATGCAAATGTTTACAAACACCAAAATACATATTGAATTTGTTTTTAAAGAAAAATAGCTTTAGGAAAAAAATAGCTAAATAGCTTTAGAAAAAATAGCTAAAGAAAATTGTTCTATAGGCAATATTTGGCTACTTGCCTTTTTTCTCATAATGTATGATGGTGAATGTCCTCGAGTATAATAAATGGGTGTTAAAATTTATTCTTAAGTACATTCATTATGTTCTATTGTATGTCTGTATCATATGTGTTCTATCATTTTTCCAGCAGTGGACCAGGAGGTTGTTTCTGGTTTATTAACTTGCCCTCAAATGCTGCAATGTTTATCCTTATTTATGTAGAGTTGCTTTTAGTCCTATACGACAGAGTTCCAAATTGGATCTAGGGCCTTATGTTGAGTAGATACCACTCTTTCAAAGTCAATCTCTCCACACATGCACTAGATTTCATCCCTTCCTGTCTGCCTAGTGGCTTTGCCCCAACAATTCTCCCCTCTTGCACCAAATCGTCAAGTTTTGTCTCTAAACCTCATTCCCTTCAGCATCCAGTATAAATGTGCTTTGTTTCTTCCATCATAACAAAGCATTCTCTTGACTTGAGTCACTCTACCGCCTAGACTGTTTCCTGTACAGTAAAAAAATCCTAAAAAAAATTTATTATGTAGTAGCTTCAATTCCTCCTCTCCCATTCTCTCTTAAACTGCCTATATCTGTTTTTTAAATACTGCCCCTGTCCTACAATGCTCTTTTTGAGGTCATCAATAATTTTCTTATTGCTAAATCCAAAGGTCAATTTTTACTTCACCTAGCAGCAGCATTTGACACAGTAGACCATGCATATCTTCCCCATTGGAATACTTTCTTTACCTGTCTTTGAGGAGTCCTCATTTTCTTGGTTTTCTGCCTACCTCATTCACCACTCTTTCTCAGTATCCCTTGCTGACTTTTCTTCTCACCAATTTCCTAATGTGAATGATCGCAGGGTTCAGTCCTCAATTCTCCTCTCTTCATCTACACTCTCTCTTTGGCGATCTAATTTGATTTCATGGCTTTCAAAGCCATATAGGTCAACAGCTTCCAATTTTGTATCTCTAATAGACTTTCTCCCAAAATCCAGTCATGAATAGTCAACTGCCTACTCAATATCTCCACAAGGATGTCTAAAAGCCATCACAATCTAAACATCTCCCACCTCATACTATACTCTCTTGCTACACTATAGTCTTCCTCATTTCAGATGATAGCAACTTTATACTTCTACTTACTATAGCATCACCATGACCACACAGTTTAGTATAGATACAAAAATTGACCCATGGGTCTGGGGATGAGAATATAAATTCTATCAACTGATCCAGGTATGTGAAAAAACCTAATATATGACAAAGTTGGTGTTTTAATCAAGTAGGAAAAGACAGCATAATTGACTAGCTATGTGAAAGAAAGCAAAACTAGACCCCTTGCTAAAATAAATTTCAAATGGATTGAAAATTTAAATTCAAATTCAAAATAGAGGCATTAAGGGAAAACTGAGGAAAATATTTATATAACCTTTCTTCTACTTTTGCCCACTTCAGTCTAATTTCTAACATCTCTTCCTTCGTTCCATTCAGTGACACTGGCCTTCTCACCGTTCTCTGCACCTGCCAAGCTCACTCCTGCTTTGAGCTGCTGTGTCTCCCACTTGCAGTATGTTTTTCTCAGGTAACAGTGTGGTTCTCCCCTTTAGCTCCTTCCAAGGTTTGTTGAAGTATTACCTCTCACTCAAGGCCACTATAACCACCCTATTTAAATTTGCTACCAGTTTCCTTCTAAGTCTTGCTCTCTTCTACTTGGCTCTCCTTTTTTTCCTTTTCCTTTAGCACTTATAGCTTCCAATATAGTCAGGAATTCACTTATATGACTATTTTTTTTATAATCTGGTTTCACCACTAGAATGAAAGCTCCATGTAGGCAGATAATTCCATCAGTTCATCATACATCCATTCATTTTATTAGTCAGTCATTTAACAAATATTTATTGCTTGCTCATCATATTCAGACATTGTTATAGATTCTGGAAATACAGCTGAAAACAATAAAAAGTTTCTCTCCCCATGGAGCTTTCATTATAGCACAAAAAAAGAAAGTAACATATATAAGATGTCAGATACTGCTGAAATGCTTTAAAAAATAATAATAAAGCAAAGGAGGAGGATTGAGAGGACCTGGGTGGGGACAGAGGCTGAAATGTTAAGTGGGTCAGGAAAGGCCTTAAGGACAAGAGGTCATTTGAGCCAAGATCTTTTGTGGATCTTTAGCAGGTAAGGTGTCAAGCCATTCAGAGAGGTGGCATAGGGGTAACAATTCTTTAAATATTTAAGTTTTAAGAGAAGGCTTGATCTTAGGGGAAGAAGGAGGAGTCAGGGCTAGAGCAGGGTGTCGGCCGGGGGTGGGGGTGCCGCGGGCTGGGGCATGGAGGAGGACTAGGTTATCAGGGTGGCTCAAACGTGCAGGGGGTTTTTTGTGTTATTTTCCAATTTTTCGTTTTTAGCTTAGAAACAGTGCAAAGTGACTGGAGGAACTTAACGCATGGGAGTTTGGAGGAGAGGAGCATGCGAGGAATGTAATCATATTTGTGTTTTTAAAATATGAGTCAGGCTTCAGTGGTCAAAAGAAATGCAAACCAGAATATGGATCTTTGTGTTCTAACTATGAGAATGTAGGAATTTAGACAAGATATCAAGTATTCAATAAATCCAAATGGCTAGTTGACATATTTTATTGTTATTCTACTGAGGAAAGGTGAAATAAATGGATTGAAGAAGACAGGTAAATTAGAACCTGATATTTTTGCTTTTGTATTAAATGCCTAAATGATTCACAAATTTTATAAGCATATATTGATGTCAACCTGCTAGCAAATGTGACACAGACATAATGAATGCCGTCAAATTGTGAAGCTAATATGTACTTTTTCATTTAAAGAGCTATAAAAAATATCTTTAAATTATACCAAATAATACAGTGACAAAAAAGAAACCCCAAAAAACCCAACACAGAAATAAGACCTGAGATTGAGATAGAAATATACTGGTGGAAGTCTGAGAAAAGATTAGAAAATTACTGAAGAAATTAATAAATTAATGCCAATTTAAACTCATCTTTTAAAATGGGAGTAAATAAATAATTCTGGTTTTTTCCCACCCATAAGTTTAATGATCATAAGCGGTAGAAAACACCATCTCTTCCCTTTACCTCCTGAAAATTTAGATTACGAAGAAGGGGTTAGTTCAAAAATTGAGGTCACAAAGCCTTTTTGAAAGTCATCTTCAGGTCGGGGGTCAGGAGTGTGACGGGGGTCTGTACGCCGTGGGTGCCGTGTGCTTTGCGATGAGCCTCTGGAGCACAGTTTGAGGATTAACAAAATTCACAATTTTTGACCCAAGATTTTACTTGAGTAAATTTGTCTTAATACAATGTTTAAAAATATGGGAAGGTACATGTATACGGATGTTGAAAACAACATATAGGGGGACAAAATTGGAAAATAAGTACAATTTTCAGTGAGATAAGGGATTGTTTGTGAATTATGCCTCTTCCTTATCTGGATGAGAGAGAAGCCATTAAAAAAGACATTTTGGAAATTAATGACACAGGAAATGCTCTTCATTTAATGTAGGTATAAAAAAGAATTAAAAAATGGATCTAGAGCATAATACATTTTAGTATTCCAAAAAGGTGCGTGACAATCACAGCATTCATCTGTGAGTGGTGGAATACTGAGTGTCTTTTCCTTTTTTTTTTTTTTTTTTAAAAAAAAATGAAGTATTAGATCTGAATCAAGCTTTCAAAAGCAAAGCAACAAAAAGGTAGGGATAGAAAACAGTATTATTCAAATATTCTAATATTAAAAATCTTCAGTTGGAATAACTCTCATTAATTGGATGGACCACTTAAAGGCATTTTTGCCTCTGGCTCTACTTTAAAATGAAAGCTCATTTCTAGAAAGGAAAAGCATCCTCCTTCCTCCCCTGCCTCCAGCCTTCCTCGGGCTCACGGCGTTGTGAGAGTTGCTGCTCTGTGCCCAGGCCCTGGGCGGCCACTCTATGGGACAGCCACTCACAGCTCTCACCTGGCCTGTGCCATGTCCTTTGGATTCACCTGATCCAGCAGCCACTGCCTTCTCGCAGCTTCTTTCCTCCTATAGCCCGCTTGGAGCAGGTTGTTTCTGAGGGTCCTAAAGAGGAGCTTTGTATTCTCCTTTGCGGACAGCTCCTGTAATGGCCAACATTACACAGGGCGTCAGATCAGTCTCAGCGCAGTCTTCCTTCCTTACCTGGGCAGACAGCTGCCGTGAAAGGTTCCAGAATTACTTCACTTATGTTTATGTCCTCAGAAGAGTCATTTTACTTTCTTACTGCCTGGATTTCTTCATGTTCTCTCTACGTGTACACATAGCATAAGTTTCCAAATTACATACCTCTTAACTTCCACAATAACTTTTCTTTGTTAGAGCAACCCAGTTATTTTAAAGCTAGAACAGGGGAGTGAAGGAGGACTAAGTCCATGGTGGTTAACATTTGGGTTGTGGATTCCTTTGAAATGGATTTATCTCCGAAAACTGCTCATATATTTAATTCTGTATAAGATTTCAGTGGATGCCCAGACCGCCTGAAGTCCATCCATCAACCCCACATTAAGAATCTCTGCCAAGAAAAAAAAAAAAAGAGCAAAGAAGGAATGCAATGAGTCGTTAAAGATTTTCAGCACTTGAAATCTAACGTGTAACAACAAAGTAACCACACGGTGTCAGTCTAACACCGATAAGCCCTATTTCTCCCCAGGCGTTTAGAAACTGGAAGATCACACGCCAATGAACCCGAGGATTTGGTTTAACAAAGTTCAGTAAAGCAATGTCCACTGGGAATTACTTGGCAAGATCCAGGCACTTGACTTTTGTGGACCATTCCCGTTAAAGGGAAGAACGAGAGAAAACTTTCCTCTGAAAGTCTATTTCATCGAGACACTTCATTCACTATTGTATTTGAGGGTGATGTCATCCGTACGGAGAGGCTGACTCATGGAATCTCTGTGATGTGAAGAAAGTGTTCTTTCTGAAAAAACTCAAATACTCTTTGTTTAATATTCACTATTCCATTTCTCTTTCATCTTAGAAAGACCTGAATTCTCTTGTTGAATATTTAAAATTTTCTTTAAAAAGTTTTAGTTTTATGCTGCTCCACTCAAGACTGAGATAGTTCTCTTTCTCTTTGATTTTTTCCTAAAGAAAAAAAATACTTGACATGTAAAGGAAAAGGCATGTTAAAAAGGAAAATGCCCCAAATAAACCAACAGCTAGAAACCTTGGTGCATCATCATCCCCAAACCACAGCCTTTTCTTTAAATCCGTACCCACTTCCAGTGCCTCACCCCTCTTACACCTCAGACATTTTCTATGACAGTCCAAGATCAATGGCTTCCAGCTGGACTCTGGTTAGCCTTTTCTCATCTCCAAAAGGTTTTATTAAAATTTACAGTATAAAAGAAATTTATACTGAGAGATATATAAGGTTCACTTTGCCTCTTTCTTAGTCCTAGGTATTTATCAAGTATGAAAGGAGCAGAATTCATGGTTTTACCGGAGGGAAAGTTTTTCAGCTGTTATAGTGTGTGCTAATGAAATTCGTGAACAGTTTGGTACATCAGGGGAGACGTTACCTGGACACAGTGCTCGATCACAGGATGAGACTTCTGGTGGGACTTGCTGTGAAGGCCAGATAAAAAACACAGCTGGCAGATGTCAAAGTTGAGACACTTCAGACAGCGGTATCTGCCAATGAAAATGGAAGTGTGGCTGATGTTACTACTGGTAGGCAAACAAAGAAAATAATATTCAGGTGGAAAATGAGCCGAAACACACAGGAGATGTCTGAGCTGTCAAGTGAGTATAACGTTTCTCCCAAATTTTGCAGAGATAGATGCTAAAATGCTCTGATGTGTTTCTCCGATCAAAGAAATCTTCTTTTGATGGTATTTTGATATTATGGCATTATATTCATACAGTTTTATCCAACAAACTATAGTATTGAAGTCTCATTCATGCCCCCCCGCCACCCAGTATTTACAAATGTAGGGTAATGTGTGCTACAACCTTTACAACAGACCCTTCAGACCACCAGTACCAATGACCTTGAAGTGGAAATGTAAACTCACTGTTTTGGAGGCTACCAGGTCCATTTGAGGTTTTCAATAACCATTAGTTGAATGAAGTTAAAAGAATGAGTTTCTTCACCAGGAAAATGGGTCTGGCAAACCCTGCCCTCTCAGCCTTGCAAAGTTTTAACAAAGCTTTGAAAATTATTCCACATGCATAAATGGGGAGATTTTTACTTTTTACATAAAATGTATAACATAATAAAGTATTTGTATAAGGATTGCTTGATAAGCCACCCATACTGGCTGCTTTATGAAGCACACATATGCTTGTGGTCGACTCATCTAGGACAGTATGTTGACCCTGACCTTGCATTAGCTCCTCTATGCCCTGAAACTACCTGCAGGCTTATGAGAAAGGATGTAGCATGGGGAATGAGGTTGGTTTGTCACTGATGCCTTTACCAATGGAGAACCAATTTTTTCCCCAATCTCATCTCAACCTTGAATGGCAATTACGGAGCACAAATGTGACACATACTGCGAGAATTTAACACCTGGCTCAGGAGCAATTCTTAGTCTTTGTACTTTCTCTTACTTTAGAAGGTCAATGCCCGCATCGGGCTACCTCCAGATCTGAGAACACTTCTCTCAAATGGCTTTATTAAGCTCACTAAAATGAAAAGCCTAGAGGCTATTGCTCTAGTTTACCATAGCCAAAAACACAGGAGTAAGGTCATGATTGTAATGCATTCAAGTAATTTCTGATAGATTCTGGTTACACCTCAAGGAGGCCTGTGACATCATTTAGCCCACCCCTCCTGATTTTACTTACAAAGAAACTGAGGCCCAGAGAGGTTGCAGGCCTTGTCCAGCTCACCCAGCTATCTCATACCTGAGAACAGAACATGGCCTTGGAGGTCTAGGAGGAAAGATGGTTCCCACAGAGGCACTGCTATTCTGAATAGATAGGGACATCATCTAAAATGTAAAACGTGGCACTGCTTGCCCTTTCCTCTGCTATTTTTTGAGTGGCTGGAGCAAGTAACTCAAACTCTTTGAAACTCTTTCATAAAATAGGAATAATAATATCCGCTTTACATTACACATAATGATTTTGAAAAAAATTTTAATGTTAAAGCTGTGTTTTATATAATTGCGAAGTGACTTTTAGATCTGGCCCAGTGTGGGACACATAGCAACTGCTTAATTAATACTTGTCTACTGGTTAAATGATTGTAATGTACATATAACATAGTTAATAATATTCATGTTCCTCCACTGTCCAATATAAAAAAGGGCTTAGTTTTCATTGTAATGTAAAGATTTCTTTTGTTTGGCTTGCTTGGTTTTCAGCAGGCTTGCTCATTTGTATGTTTTATTGTTTAAAGTTCGGTTATTGACAAAGGGCTGTTCATGAGTGGGGTTTCACTGTGCCAGAATTCTTTTCAAACCCAATTTATTTTCTCAGCAACATTCAAGCCTGACTTCCAGTTTTTTAGTGGGCGCAGCACGTTTAAGATTGGGGGCTGGTTAAAATCTGGACGCACTGAGAAGAAGAGAAACAGAGGGCGCAGGGGTCAGGGACTCCCTTCTCCTGCCCCACAGGACCCCCCACCTTTGGCTTGTCTTTGGCTGTGTAAGGGCCACAGTGAGTCTTCCTAGAATTGCCAGCCTGGCGTGGATTATTTTGAGCTGAAAACAATGAAAGTTTAAGAAGAGTTGTTATTTTTTCCCCCTTTCCTGTTACCTACCTTAAGGATTTCAGATAGAAAACAAGCCCCAGGAAGGGAACCCTAGCGTGGTTCCCTGAGCATGCGTGAATTAAGACAGGGAGGAGCCAAGCAGGTCTGTTTGTTAGATTCCCCTGTGTGTTCCATTGTTTCCGGGTGGCCAAGCATTTGTTTTCCACGTTTGCTCTTTCTCATCTGCCTGTGGATTGCCCACTCGCCCCTTGAAATCTCAGACCCCTGCCTTCCTCTCCCTGGTCCACAAAGGCAGATAAGCCGCAACTGCCCAACGTGTCTTGGGGTCTCGTGTTCTGATGGAATCCCCATAGGTACCTAGGTAATAAATTTGGTTATTTTCTCCTGTTAATCTGTCTCATGTTAATTGGATTCTTAGTCTGGCCAGAGAAACTTAGAAAGGTAGAGGAAAGATTATTTTTCTGCCCCCACAGCTAGCTGGTGGCCCCAGCTCTTCAGTCCTTCCGTGCCTCCCGCCCCTGCACCTGTGTTCACGCACCAGGACGGTGGTGTCCCCTGTGCCTGGCCTAGGTCTGTTGGTTTCTTTCTCTCTTCCTCTAGTTTTTATTAATAGCTCTAATTTCACTTCCTTATAATGTTATTTATGAGAGACCCATAAAATCCTTTCCCTAAGGTGGGATTTTGGCTATTCTCAAAGATCTGACTCTCCTACTTCCAAATCTAGCTCTCAAATCTAGGCAGAGAAAAGGTATGGCATGAACTGCTCCCACAAAACCTGCTTGTTCCTTTGAGTCCAAGGAATGTTCTCAGTTGCCTGCACAGGGAGGCAGCAGAGCGTCATGATTGCAAAGCAAGGATTCTGCATTCAGGCTGCCAGCCTCTGCTACTTGCTAACCATGGGCACCTAAGCAAATTATGTAGCTTCTCTGAAGTCAGGGATTATAATGCCACCTTTTATAGAGAGTTGTAACAAGTTTTAAATTAAATAGTCCATGTGAACCACACAACCTAACAGTTATTTAACACTTAATAGAAGCAAACTATTATTATTGTTTGTACTATGGATGGCTCCAAGGTATTTAAAAGGATTTTTTTTTGTAATAAAAGACAAAAAAATTTTCCATTAGAGGAATAAAAGTGTCTACTGCTTAGACTATATGCCAATGGAAGAATTGAATGTTACATTAATTATAGAAGATAAAATACTTACTGTCAACCAGGATCCCTCATGCAGGAAATTATTGACCCTCCCGAAAATCAACTGAATTTCAGATGTGTGAGAAGGACCATGAAAAGAATCTGGAGAGACACAGCTACAGCTGTAGACCCATTTGGGAACGACACTCCGTGTAATACTGATGAGTGACTGTACCTCAGCCCCGTGATTGGGAAGTTCCTGCATATTCTACACCGAACGGGATGAGTGACCATTTCAGTGGCTGACAGTTGGTAGCAGGTTGGGAGCCACAGGAGGATGGGAGGCTCAGACTGTAACCAAGAGAGGAATTTCTCTTCTTTGATTGCTGGGCTCAACACCTGCAAGACAACGGTATACTTTGATGTGTTTCTAGAAATGATCTTGGTCTCTAATAGAGATGAAAAACGTATTTTCCTTTTCTGGCTCTGTTTCTGTGAGCTCTGCTGAAAAAGTTCATCGCATGAAAAGTCAGAGGCAAATCTGCCTCCTCAATGAGGTCGTCTGGAATGCTGTGGAGAGTACTAACAGTTCTGCAATTTACACTGGTCAGCGTATGTGTCTGCCCCCTCCTTCCAGGGACATTTGCATGGCACTCACCCCTTGGAAGCAACTGCGTATCGCACTTTCCACAGAGCACAGAGCACGACTCTCACCCACGACAGTTGGGATCTGCAAGAAGCAAGAAACCCCACGTCAGCTCATAGAAAATGGAGAAATATGGGGACACGGGCATCAGCACGCCTGATTGGTGGTGTGTACAGCCATGGAGCCACAAGAACTGGGTGCCTGAGGTGGGATGAACTGTCGCAATCCAAGCAAATAAAAAATGTGTAGGTTTTGTGCAATGTATGATTAGAGACAATAGGTGAACGAGTGGGAAGATGTGGAGCTGGGAGGAGAAAAGAGGGTGAAAAGAAAGTCTGGTAATTGGGGCAGTACAGGGATGCTTTTGTTTTTGCTTATGACCTCAGTCACAGTATTTTAACCCTTTTTTGCTCTTGTTTGCTTACGAATTACATATAATGATATTGTATTAAAGTTCAGGGTAGTTTTAAGATAAACCTTTTCAAACTCTTTCACGTCATCTCACTTTAAAAATGCTAGTTTCTAGGGTAGGGCAGGAATTGTTATCCTTGTTTAAAACAGGGGGTAATTGAGATTTGATATTTTGCTCAAGGCTAAAGAAACAGAGTCATAGCTGCAGAATTGAGATCTCTCTCCAAGACTCCTTACTCCCTTGGGGGGTTCTCACAAAGCTTTGCCACGCTCCTACCTTATGTGTATTCCAATGACTCAGTCTACACCCGCTCAGTGGTTTCCGTCTTTCAATCACGTTCACCATAAGGAGGTTAGCCAAGGGCCTAAGAACCCCTTGCGATTGTCAAGATGGCCAGGAACTTGGACCTGACATTATCTATATGCACATTTACATTTACCTGTCACCTCCATTTATGCCCTTTCGGTCGCAGGTCCTAATTTTGTGTCTGGTGTCTTCTAAAGCACAGGCTGTCAGCAGGCACTGCCTGTAGACTCAGGAGTAATTTCAAGACCCTCCTGCTGGGTCCATCAACTCGAATAAACATTCGTCTAATCAGGAAAGTGGCACTTAGAACCACTTTGCTGACAATTAGTCAGGCAGGAGTCAACAAACATTTACGTAATAGTGACAAGATGGCTTGTACTTTAAATTGATAATAACCCCATCACCAGCTGAACTTGAGTAACTACTCTGTATGTTATTTAGCCTTTGTCTGAAAAAATAATTCATTACCCAATCCTGGTGAACCGACTGGACCACTTATTTAGACATTATCCTTGAGCCCTGGGAAACAGATTTCACCTAATTTGTGAAATAAGGGAAGTGTATCAGATGGGATTGACCTGCTAGTTCTGTGATTTTGACACCAGTCAAAAGAAAATTCACTTTTGTAGTGGTTTTTAACCTATATTTTTGGCTTTATGCGTCTGCACAAAGATTTTGTGGATTAATTGCCCATTTGACTAATTTCTTTCAGGTGTTCTGTGGAAGAATTAAACATGACTAGATGACATGCTGGCACAGTCAGAACACCACTTGAAATGATAATTAGAATTCTTGGGGGAGGGGTTTGAATCACAGAGTGAGACCTGGAATTTTATATGGGACTCCAGCTCTGAGTTCTTAATGGAAGTCAATGGGATCATAATTTGTTATGCAAATTTTGGCCTTCCTAACAGCTTTCTCAGGAGCATAATAATGTGTTGAGGGGAGACAGGGCTCTGCAGGAGCTGCCATTTCAGCAGCTCATTGACCTCAGTTGAGCCTGAAACAAGGGCAGATTTTTTGGGCCTGTTGGATGGGATGTTAGTCTGAGGCCAGCTGTAGTAGTCAGGAGGCAAGCACAGGATTTCTATAGGAGAAGAAAATGCCCCTCAGTCCATCTTCTTTCATCATGTGCATCTACACATGCCAGTCTTAGAAGCCTGATTGGGTAAATGAATGGACAGATCTTCCCACTCTCTGGTTCCCCACCACCTTGGGTCCTGAGGTGTGGGGATTGTTGAAGCAGTGTCTCAGCTATAGTAGCTCCTTGAGACATGCCTGGAAGTCAGCAGAAAACTGGTAGTAATATCCATGTGCTGCCACAACCATCAGGACAGCTCTGAAATAACTACATCTGATATTTTAACCTTATTAATATAAAGATATTATTATACTTTTTAAAAATATGAACATCTTAAACATTGTTTGGAATTTTCAGAATAAATTAAACATTAATTATTATGATAAAAAAGAACATAAAATTTTATATTGAGACCAAAGCAAAGCAGAGGTAATTTTGGATAGACTTTCTCAAACCTTACCCTCTGTCTTAGAGTTCTGATAACCTTCTTCCATATCCACTCCCCACCCCCATCATGAATATTCTCAGTTCAGATCTCTGGTCCTGAAGAATACCAGAATATGTCACCCCAAAATATGCCTTTTTGGCACATGAATTATTTGAACTAAAAGCCATTGAGAACCAGTAGATGCATGGAAATCTCTAAAAATAGGGCGCAATTTTTTCTTTTGTAGAGAAAATGTAATTTTTAAAGAAAATTTTCATGTGCCAAAGGTGTCTTCCTCTCCCCACCAGAAAGAGAAGAATTCTTAACAATGTTTATTAATGGATAAGAAATAGACTTAAACCTGAATAAGCAAACCTTACTAAACAACCCTTATTCATCATACTTTTGCTGGTCACCTTCTCATAACTTGCTTCTCCTACTTACAGGTTCAGAACCTCTTTTCTTTTGTTTAGCATAAGATGGTATGAAAGCCAGTGTTCTAACTACCTCTTTGAGTTACTTATCACTGGGTGCTCCAGTATGATGTACCATACACACATTAATAAAGTTGTTTTTCTCTTGTTAATCTGTCTTTTGACAGTCTAATTTATAGAACTTAAGCCAAGTTCTATAGAATCTAAGAATAGATTCTTAGATGGATAGAGGAGAAAAGATTATTTTTTCCTCTCCTATAGCTTATACCTAGGAGAAAGATGACAGAAAGCTACTATAGCTTTATCTGTGCAGAAAATGTAGTGTTGGATTTTATAGGAGCTAGACAAAGAATAGAGACATCCCCTGAAAGGGTAGAAGGTAGAGTGGGGTGGCATCCACTTACACACAAGATAGTCCAGAGCCTGTTTAATCTATTTGCAGAAATTCTTGCTTGGTTACATTTTACATAATTTTAACATTTCAGTAACATATTTGCTTTAAGGGGGTTAAATTCACTTGTCTGGTAAAGATAACAATATTAAATTTGCACATCTTAAAGCACAGAAAATCATGGAAATCTTAACTATTTGAGTATTCTGCATTGCATTTCATTTATGCTTTCATTAGACATTTGTTGAAGGCCTTAGTACCAGGCACATTTCTAACCTTTGGATAAATAAATATGAATGAGATATAATCCTTGTCCTTGAGAAGCAGTCTAATGGGGAAAGCATATGTCTAGGTAATCTGCTTATGATGCTAAGGACTTTAGGCTTTATTCTATAAACATGAATTGTCAGCGAAGAATTTTAGGCACGAGGGTAACATGTGCATTTTGAAAAAGTCACTGACTGCAGTGTGGAGGTAGAGGTGGAGAGAAACAAGGCTTCGGTTGACAAAACCAGTTAGCAAGTGACTGCAATAGATCAGACCTATATTCAGATAATAGTAGTGGCTATAGGGCAGAGGAGTTGCACGGAGAACTATATTAAGGTATAACTGACACTGCAAAAATTAGATTCTTTAATAACAAATGTGGCTAATAGCTGGAACAAATTTAGGACTCTTAAGTGTTAGAGATTTACCTGCTGTAGATCTGTTAGTAGGTTTCTCAAAACCCTTCGAGTCATGCGTGCCCCAGAATCATAACCTCCCCTGTTATTCTCCGCATAGAGCTGAAAAAGAGCTAGACACATAAAGGGGAAAAGAAATCTTTAAATTAAATTCTTGCAGTGTATCTTTGAAGAGTATATGCTTTGAATTCTAAACAGTGTATTTGTGGTATGAAGGCAAGAAAACAAAGTTCTGTGCTTGCTTCTTTGCCTTCGATTTTGAAGGCTTCCCAAACTAGATAATCTGATAACTACTGAAAACCCAGTTCGTGTCTCAATCCCTTGATAATTCAGCGCATCAATGATGAAGACCAGAAGGCTGGCAAACAGCAATGTGAGGAGAGACCCAGCTTTTAGAGGACTAATAACCACTGGTGTCTGAACAATCTCTACACAAATAAGTCGTAAGGATAATCACACTGTGAATAAGTAGAAAGCATGGCTCAACATCATGAAAAATTCCAAGTTGTGCTGAGTATATGCCAAATAAGAGCCATGTGGCCAGGATATAGATAGGACTAACTGAAGAAAATAATGCATTGGAGATTTAGAGGCCATTGCATTTCAGACACTCAAAACTCCTGCGTGTCTTACCTCTGTATTTTGTAAGAGGGCTGTCCCCTGAGAGGGCAATCAGGGCAGCGGCTGCAGGTGCAAGTTTGAGAAAACCCGTTCCCATGCTGCATAGCAACAAAACACAGAGAAAGGGATGGGAAAGGCAGGGTTATTTTTGATGAAGTGGTTTATAACAAACATAACCATCGATGGGCATTTCTGACACAGTGTTACAAGTTCAAACTTTTAGTGGCCTGTTTTCCTATATCTAGAATTTGACAGGACTAATAATTGCATTAAAATATTTCACCATTCATTTATGTGTTCAGCTAATATTCAGTGAGTGCCTCCTCTCTGCTAAGCATTGCGTTACACACTGGCAACGCAGGAGTCCACACTGTCTTCACAGAGCGGGTAGCCTTACTTCCTTAGGACCCACGTGCTTGGGAACCAAACAACAGAGACAAGGACCAAAAAGCATGTAAAAGAAGCAAAGATGTATATATAAAAAAATCACAGACCCTCACTTAAAACCTCACCATCCTTTGCCCACTGGCTGTGCAGGTTTCACACCTACAAAACAATGCATTAAACGCAAGAGGATTATTACAGGCAGGCATTGATATCAGATATGATAGACAAAAGCTTAATGTTTAAGGAGGCTGAAGTCATGGAAAGATAATGTAGGATCATGTTTATGTTATTTGTGCAATTAAAAAAATCCAGTGAACTAGAAAAGGAAACACTGTAAGGAATTTGCCAGATGGTTAAACTGTGCTTGCCTCTGTGAGGTAGGCTTTTGGGTGACATTTCTTCTTCTTTACTCTTTTCTGCACTTTCCACATGTATTATATTCATTATGGATTTTTAAAAGTCCATTCTAAAGAATGAGGATTGCTCTGTCAAACCACGTAAGGTAAAGAGAATGAAATGAGACAGAAGAATGGTAAGCCCCAGAGCCAGCAAGACACAGAGAAACTCACACATGCTCACATGCACACACACACCATTGACCCCAGGGCGTGTACAATGAAGCCTTTGGTGTTGTTTAAACTGGTTTGTATGTGCAATGAACTGAATGTTTGTCCCTGCTCCCCGCCACCCAAATTCATGGGATGTTGAAGTCCTAATCCCCAATGTGATGGAATTTGGAGGTGGGACTTTGGGAGATAATTAGATCACAAGGACAGAGTCCTTATGAGCTAGATTAGGGATTTTATAAAAGAAAGTTCAGAGCATTCCCTTGTCCCTCTTGCCATGTGAGGACACAGCAAGTACGTGGTCTTCTATGAACCAGGAAGCAGGTCCTCACCAGGCACTGGCCGGCGTCTTGACCTTGTACTTCCCAGCCTCAAAAACTGTGATAAATAAATGTTTGTTGTTTAAGCCACCTAGTCCATGATATTTTTGTTGTAGTAGCCCAAACAGACTAAGATAATAGGTTAGCCATCCATGCACAGGTTATTCAAACTTACTCTGCTTAAGAAACAAAACAAAACAAAAACTAATGATTGGTTACAAAGAAATAGCAAGGAAATGAGCTACTAGGGACTCAAGAGAAAAGTCTACATTTTCACAAGCATAGATGTATAATTGTCATAGTAAAGGGTGTGCATGGTCTCTACAGTGGAAATGAGTTTGTATAGAAAAAGTAATGTGAATTTTCTCCCCTTTTTGCAATCCATGGGTCATTTATATTAGTGAAGCTAATACACCTATCTTCTTTATTCCCCTCCTGAATGAATAATACATTTGTGAAAAACAAAGAAGCCATCTTATATATCAAACCATAAGCAATCATTAGACAACACCAAATGGTCAATGATCAGTGGCAATGAAACACTGCCCTTGAGGTCGTAGTGTGACCTCTGCACCTCTGCACCCTCACCTGTCATGCATCGCTGTGAGAAGGCTCAGGGTGAGTTCCGAAGCTCTGGGGTGCACCTGTCCTGGCTCTTCCACCCTCACTCTCTGAAACAGCTCCTGGAGGGCCTGGAAAAGATGCTTCACGGAGAGAGGGCTCTCTCTTGCTTCCCAGAAACTTTGGCGTAATAGGACGTGCTGAATCTGTGAAGTGTCAATCAAGTCCACTATAGAAAGCAAGTGAAGAGTTGAGTCTGATTTTCTTCTGGGAACAAAAAGCTTCAAACAAAGCAAATGTCACCTAATATTTAATAAGACTTTTTTTTTTAATGGCAGCCATTTCCTTTAAACATAATTAGATATGACCGCTGTTTGGATACATATCTCTTGTGCATAATTCAGATGTTACTATTCTGACAGCCAATCTGATTCTGGCAAAGTGCTTCTGTTAGCAAAGCACGGTTGTGACATTATTTTCAGTATAACCTCTAGGATGTTATTTTATAGAATGAAGTTGAAAGGAGAAGGAGTGAAAAACTTGAAAAATAGCCTTCTGAGGAATTTAAGACACTCTGGTGAAAGGTTGGGGAAAACATTTTTATATTCTTTAAGTCAATTGAGCAAATTTACTTTTCATGTTCAAATGCTGTTTTCCCTGTCTGCAGCCTAGCTTCAGAAGCACTATTGTGTATTAAAATGCAATTGTCTTAGTTTAAAAACCCAGCGATCTTTCTACAAGAGCCGTTGCTGAATTTAATATCAGACTCCTTAGGCCCCACCCTTGCCTCAGTAATATTTCTTTTATTTAATCTCAGTTCTATTAGTATTATTATCTGAGGAAGGCACTAAATAAAACCAAAGTTGCTTACAAAAAATAATGGTTTATTTGCTATATATTTTTTACCACCTCCTAAACATTTTACAAGGCAATGAATATAAGGGAGAATGAAATAGAACTAACCCTATGGCTTCTTACAGACGGAGGGTGACAGACAAAATTAATAAACACCCAATTGTATCATGTGAATGATGGGATGTCAGTGGCACCATGAGCTGCTGGCATTTAAAATGCTTCAGCCTGTGAAATGATAAAACCCTGCGCTTTTCTCTACTTCGTAAATCAATCTCGCAGATAAGAAATCTAGCAAGTATAATAAAATTTTTTATTTGTTCTCTGATACTGCTTTTAAGGGTAGAGTCTAAAGAAGTGAGGAGTAGGTTCCAGGATGTGACTTTAATAAAAACCTGGCTCCAGGTGGTGGAGGCTGCCAAGTCTTTTATCGTTACTCAATCGCAAAATCCATCATCTCAGCCTGGCGTGCTGCACGCAGGACGTTCGTGACTTCTGCTGAGCATTCTGTATTACAGCAAAAAAGATAATACTGGTATCCATTAATCTCACCACAAGATTTATGCAGCGGTACTCGCCAGATCCCGCCGCCTGGAACTCACAGTATGCTTTACCTCTGCCTACTGGACTTTCTTGGTTTCAAATTTTTGTTTGGATAGCTTTTCTAGGTGGAACTTTTCAACTACTAGTTTTGTGTCTTATCCATATTTCCCAGGAGTATTATTTATATTCACTGTTTCTGATGCCTGGGGTAATAGAAAGTACAAAAAGGTACATCCTCAGATTACGTTGTTTGTACCCAGGCAGTAATAATAGAGGCCTATATAAACATTTGCTGCTCACTTTCTTTCATGGGGGAATTTCTCCAGGAAAATACCGTAACCGAGGATATATATTTTCCTGTGCCTACTTGGCCTTTTGTTGATCTTTGGAATAGCAAATAATAGTTACAAGGGGGTTTATTTGTCTACATTAGTAAACTTTAAAAAAAATTTTTTTCTAAGTCAAGCGCCCCTGTTTCAAAAGACAAGACAGCATGAAAAAAGAATACAGAGTTGTTCTGGTTGAGGATATGGTTTTTGAGTTTTCTAGGGTTGCCTCTTCTTTCTTTCCCCATGTTTTGTATCCTACATCACACCCATGCGCACACTGTGAAGCACAATGTGGAATTCATCGGTCTATGTAATTTATTAGGCAGAAAGCAAAATATAAAAAAATTCAACCTTTAAGAAAAATGTCATATATGTAACATGGCTTCTTTTACATCTGATATGATAATGCCATAAATCATTTCAATAAGGTCATTGTTAAAAATATAGAAATCAATAACTGTAGATATGTTGAATGCCTGTTATTTTCCACAACCAGGACCTAATTTATTTCATGCTGGAAAATTTTTATAGGATAAATGTTTTTACAGTATTTACTTTATTTTGCTTAGATAACAGTATAGGAAAGGGAAACCATAGCTTTCAATTAGATATAAATTTAACACAAAAGAGCACTTTGCAGGGAATTTTCAACATAGTTTTAAAATTTATGGCCCAAGGATTATCCATCTGAACCTACTTCTGCATGTTCAGAGAGATAAGAAGTACAATTTGAAAATGAAAATCTTGTATGGTAGAGGATATTTGAAATTTTTAAACTTAAATTCACAAGTACAGATTCTAAACTAACTTTGTAATTTTATTTTGTTTTCTTATCCTGAAAAGGAAACTTTTTTTTTTTTTTGCAGAAGCCAAGTAGGAAAAACTTCTTTATAATCTTCATCCAAAAATTACTTTCTATTTTAGTCAATGAAGCTCCCCTTAGGTGGACTACACACGGCATCCCCTCTCCTCTTTGTCTTCTATTAAAAACGGAGGAAATGCACAGATCCAGCCTCTGGGCTCCAACAGTCGCTCACTTGGATTTTTGTTTTCTTTGTGCATTTCCATCCTACTCAGGATCAGAGTATTTCAAGTGTTCTGGAGCGTTCTACTTACACTGACACATGGTTTGCACAGACCGTAATTTGAAGGCTGTTCTCCAAATGGAATTCTCAATACTATTAAGAGCATCTGTAAAGAAAACATGAAATAGCGTGTGAATGACCATCTCAGTAGATAAGTCCCACATACTGGAAAGGAATCCTAGAGGTCATGTAGCTACACTTTATTTTGCAGGTGTGGTAATGAAAGTCTAGAGAGAATTTGCTTTCCTGTCTGGGAACAAATAGTAATGGTCTAAATCAGGGGTGTCCAACCTGAGGCCCATCAGCTGCACGCAGCTCTGGATGGCTACGAACGCAGCCCAACACAAAATTGTAGATTTACTGAAAACATGATGAGATTTTTTTGTGTGTGTGATTATGTGTCATAATGTATTTAATGTATGGCCTGAGACAACTCTTCTTCCAGTATGGCCCAGAGACACCAGAAGTTTGGACACCCCTGGCAGAATCTTAGGCTGCAGACTCACCCTCTGCGTCCACTCAACTAAGGAATCCACCAAAAAGTTAGGATTTGTCCACAAATCTGTCTACTTTTTTATATAATAAGAAAATAACCTTACTAAACAAATAGGATAAAAAACTCAATGTAGACTATAAACTTAATTTTGTTAATATATTCTAGTCATATACACACACATGTATTTATGCATATTAAAAAAAGCAAAAGCTATCCATCTATTCATTCATTTAGCAAATATTAATTGAGCTTTTCCAACAGAGCCCTGGCATGATCCCTGGCCCTGAAATACAGCAGTTAACAAAACAGATACAAATCCCTGCCATGGGGAGCTTAATTTCTAGTGGCATTCGCCAAACTGGTAATAGTGGATATCCCCAAGTGCTTAAATTCTTAGTGTTCATCGTTATTTTCTTCCTACTTGTTGATGTTACCTACATGTTTAATAAAGAGCATATGTTATTTTTACAATCAAGAAAGAATGGTCAATGTGCCTTCTTTGAGGGCTCCTCCTCCCCGCAGCAAGGGCCCACATTTCTGAGCACTTACCAGGCACCGACTGCCCATGCGCCCATTTCACAGTGTGGAGGCAAAGGGGATGCTCCGGAGCCACGCCCAGATCCTTTTCCTTTGGGGAAATTAGTTTACTTTTTGATCTTCAGGCTCTCCATTAGATAAACAGGGATTATAATGCACCCTTCAAGGGTATTTGCATGATTTAAATAAGAAAAGGGAGATAATATACTTACTAAGTTATCTCTCTTCTCCTGATTCTCCATAATTCAAATTTGTTTCATTGATCCTCCAGATTTGATTTTAATTTAGGTTAAGAGACTTAAAACAATCTCACAACAGAGCTTTTTGTTGCCTAACATGGAAATGATTAGTCTTCATATCCAGAAAAAGTAAAATCTAAAAGAATGCCATTGACCATGGAGTTCATATGACTTTCATTATCTAGACTTAAAATTCTCAAGGCTGCAAGCTTAGGAAATATCTCTTGAGTTTCTACAATGTGGCAGGCCTTGCTTCTAAAGAGGTTTGTAGTTCAGTCATCATAAAATAGCTATACATATATGGTAATTTATTCACTAATTATACACACACACACCCCAACCCAAAACATGAGTGCACATTAGGTTCCAGGCAGGTCCTGAGGACGTGAAGGTAAATCAGGAATTCTCAATGTCGAGAGAGGGACAAGCTCCCTGGCCTCAACATGGAGGGACGCATACGGAAGTTTTCCCAGGGGAGGTGGAGTAAGAGCTATCTGTCAAAGGAGAAGCAGGAAATTTTCAAGGGATTAAGTAGAATGAAAGGTTTGGGGAAATGGGGTTCCGAGTGCAGGGAAGAGCACGTACAAAGGCACAAGGGTAGGAGCACTACACAGGTCAGTACGCTGGAAGGTGTGAGAGAGACTTTGGGGAGGGAGGACGGACGGTAGGTTGATGTGAGTTCACAAAGGATCTTGTCCCACCTTTTGATTAAGCATCTGGAGGTCAGGGTCACTATTGGGGATGAGGTAGAGATTTGGTCATTAGTGTTGGATTTGAGCAAAGTAAAATGGTATAAATGAAGAGAAAATGAGCCTAAGTAACAGAACTACTAAAGAACACAATATTTAAGAAACAGAGAGGAGGATAAACCTAAGAGAAAGAATGCGAAGGAAAAGCCAAAGAAACCAGAGATAACAATGATGAAAAGGCCAAGGAAAGTGAATTTCAGAAGGTCGAGACAAACCAATACTTCAGTATCTGAAAGCTACAAGGAGATCAACTATGGGCTAAATATAGTCTCCATTTTTCTTTTTCTTTTTTTTTTATGATTAACATGTTTATTGAAGGCTTAGCAAAAGCAATTTTAGTGTGGTCATGAAGGTCAAAGTCAAACTACATGGGATCAACCAACAAATAGTAAGGTGAAGAAAAAACATAAAAGAGGACATTTTTTCAAGACCTTTAATCTGAAGGGAAGATGAGAGAGCCATAACTAGAATAACACATAAAATCAAAATTCTTTTTCAAAGAAGAAAAGATTCCACAATGTATGTATGGTTCAGGGAGAAAGAGCCAGGAGAAAGAATGAGGTTGAGGACTCAGGAAGTGGGGGATCCAGGTGGTATTTAATATAACAGAGTATCTTTCATTGGGAATCTATTCCCTTAGCCACCCAGCATCCATTCACCTTTCTTCCAATGAACCACATTTCCTTGATCTTAGTCCATGGAATTCTAGTTGTGTTAACTCCATCTCTCCAATTTCCACAGAGGACATGTGGCTCAGGCCTTGTTAATCACTAAGAGCATTGTCGCCCTCCCTAGACATGGGCACATAACCAAGGTCAGGCAAAGAATACACCAATGAAACTTGAATCAGGGACTCTGTGCAGTTATCAGGGAAGAGATCTTTTTTTTTTTTTTTTTTCCCATTGACTTGAACCTGGGTCCATAGATTAGAGCAGCAATTACTGTCTAGTCAGGGTGTGCAGCTTGAGAATGAAAGAGCATCCAAAGGGGAGCAGAAGTAAACTTGGAGATATAAAGAAACCACATCCTAGTTACATTGTCTGGGCCCAGGGCAGTCTAGTCTTCCCTTGGGTAAATAATGATATAAGATAATACAATGCTTTTGAGTTGATTTTTCTATCACAAGCAACTCAACTATTGCTAACTGATGGGATCCCCGAGGTAGAGACAACGGATGGGGAAGATGCACTGGTGAGAAAATTAGCTTTGGAAAGAAGCCCATCCCTCATTCCCTGAGGGGATAAAAGGAGAGGATTGTAGGTGGGGGAAGGGTGCATGTCTGATGCCTTCTGTTTTCTCTATGAAGTTGGGGGCAATGTCATGCAGAGTAAATGGTGAGAAGGTGGTAGAGCACAACACTTAAGGAATGATGAAGATCTGGAATTGTTACAACAGGAAGTGAGAGAGGATACCAGGCACAAACTTTGGAAAGACTGCCAAGCAACTTTGCATCTCCAATATATCTTGTGATAACAAATGTCAATTAAATAAGAGTTTATTCGCCTAACACTCACTTGGAGGCAAGGTTTTACATGCAAGCAAGCTTTAAGCCCAGGACCTACTTGTATTTATTATGTTGTGGGAAGGATGTCTTGGAGAAAATAAAACTATATTCCAATTTAATGTCAGTTGATTACCCATAAAACTAAAAAACTTTGGAGTGAGTAGCATGTGTGCTCAAGAAGTATTTGTGACCAGAAACACAGTCAGCTCTTTAGCTTTTGCTAAGCAGGCCCTAAGAAAAATGAACAATGGACTGCCCTGTGGATTTTACTGGTTTAAACATATGCTGCAGGATAATTTATGGCACATCACTTACTTCCTTGTTCTTGCAGGAGTGGGAGAATTTAAAGAATGAAAAGGCAATGTTTTGATGTCTATTCCCATGCATATATCAAGGTCTACACTTTTTTATCCCCTTGAGAGATTTAACATCTTCTTTGTGTTTGAGGGGCCGCCCTGAGGCCAACCCCACTCAGGCCTCCATATAAAAGGTCCATCAAATAATTAGTGCCACCCATAGAAATGAGAGTTTGGAATCAACACTGCTAGAATTTCATGGACTAACACTGGGGAGAAGTTGTTCTTTTTTTAAAAAAATATTTTATTTATTTATTTATAGACAGAAGGGAAGGGAGGGAGAGAGGGAGAGAAATATCAATGTGTAGTTACCTCTGGCACACCCCTTCCTGGGGACCTGGCCCTCAACCCAGGCATCTGCCCTGATGGGGAATCGAACCTGTGACCCTTTGGTTCACAGGCCAACGCTCAATCTACTGAGCTACACAAGCCAGGGTGAGAAGCTGTTCTTCTAAAGCAAAATAGGGGCACTGGTTCACCAGAAGAAAGGTGAAGGGCTGCTGGGTGGCCAGAGGAACTGGTTCCCGCTGAGAGGGTCTTTGGCACATCAGATACCACTTCTTGAATGCTCAGCCCCATCTACTCTCCTGGCTCCTAGTCCCTGGACCCATATGTACATTCTGGACTCTTCCTTGTGTTTGAAAACCAACCTTGATTTCAGCGTTGTTCTAGCGTTTTTCTGAAGTGGGAGAGAGACTGGGGCCGGGCCGAAGTTGGGAGAGGCCTGTCTGGAATTGGGGGTTTGGGGCTGTTTCCAGGGCTGTCCTTCCTGGCAGTTCCCTGAGTGGAGAGAATGACTGTGTGTCGTAACCTTGAAGACCAGACGCTAGGCTTGGCAAGGAGTTCTGTGTCCAGTCCTGACAGCGAGTCCCATATCTTCAAGTGGCCCTCACAGCCAAAGACACAAAGCATGGCAAGCGGTGGTCATGAAGACACTTTAGGCTAGATGTTCAGGATAAAAACCTTAGAGATTTCTGTGTGTCTCAAAGGGAGGGCTCCTCCTCAGACTTAACTCACTGTAAATTTCATTCGAAGCAGGGACTTTATGAGTGTTTTGGTTTGGAAAGGGATATTTCTAGTCTTTGAATGTTGTGGGGTAAAGTCCTAACTGCTGCACATATGGGTACCGAGTGCCACTGGCACCATGCTAACCGCTGGTTGGATTATAGCGCGGGGCACAGTCAGCCCCATCCAGGAGGAGTTTGACCACATCAAAGGCCTCTCCTGGAACATATATTGATTCAATGATCAATATGTGACTATAAGGCAAGGCATCTACCTCAAGTGAATATGAGCTGCGCATAAAAATGCCACCTAAACAAGCAACCTTATTTAAAAACCTCTACGTTTTTCTTTTTTTCAACAGGTACACCCATAACAAAAACCCTACAACTGGTTCTAAATGTTTTCTTATTTAATATTTCTTTACTTTTAAAAAATCCAAAAAAACCTCCTTTTCAGATAAGAGTCCAAAGTTAGAGTAGGGGAGGGGCCAGAGACACCTCTGCCCCGTGTCTGGAGTAAAACAAATTGAGAATAAGGAGAACAGTCTGGGAATAATTTACAAAAGTATAATGCCCAATATTTTTTTTTCCCTTCTGGAAATTGGCCCATTTTTGTGCCCTGGTTCCTCTCAGATGTACCAAATGAACACAGAGAATCAGCAAACTAGGAAGTCGGCAGGTTCCCAGATGCTGCTCTACCATCTGGCCCATCACCCTCCTGTCAAATTATGTTTGCAGCGTCATCTGAGGAAGTCATGCAGCATAACACGGCAAGCTGTGCTGCAGGGCGCCGTGCAGAACGAACGTGCATCCCAGGCGGTTCCCCACCAGCCCTGCTTCCTCCAGGCTCTTTTTTATTTTTCCTGCTGGTGGGAGATAATTCAAGAAAGGAAGAAATTGCTGGATATCTCAGGCCCAGAGCTATGACCAAAGTAGTTTTAGATGTGCAAAGAAATAATAACACATGCTACACATGGTCTTGTTCATGGAAGCATTTTGATTGGGAAATGTGTTCCTCTTTAAATGACTCTTAATTTTGTTTTAAGCCAAATCAATAGGCTTCATTTCCTACAGGTACCAAGGATATAACAAAATCTCTTTCAGTGGTCCCCCATGTAGTTTGATGATCCAGAAACAGATATTTTAGGCCAGTGGTTGTCGAAGTGTGGTCCCAAGTGAGCAGCATCTGTGTTGCTTGTGAGCTTGTTAGAAATGCACACTCTTGGACCCCACCCTAGACCCACAGAGTCGCAAACTCTGGAGGTGAAGCCCAGCACTTTAACAAACCCTGCAGGTGATTCTCACACACACTAAATTTGAAAAACATACCTTTAGGGAGAGAAAATTGGGCTTTGACTGCATTATCTAGTGTTGTGTGTTAAGCTTATTAACATGAGGGTCTAAATTTGGGAAACCCAAAGATAACTTGAATTACTCGTAATGTTTTAGATAAATAACTTGAGTTGTTAAAGAATTTTATATTGCACAAGTAAAGTTAACAATGTAGATTTTTAGCTAGGGGAATAAGGCTGTAACTAGAGCCAGCAATAAAAATGTCATAGACCAGTCCTGGGCCCAAGCTGGCACTCAGATGTGTTAGAAGAAAGGGAAACAGGTTCCCCCAAACCCATTTATCAAATATTCATATAAGCCAGCTGTGAGAGCTCTCTCCCAGCTTTGGGCCGACATATCCGCTGACATTAAAATATCTACAGTGATATTCATTTTAACAGTAAGTTAGGAGAATTAAAAAATAAGCCACTTATTGTAATTAAAATGTAATTAATATTGAGACTAAATCTTTTGTTAAATTATTTTGGTGCTTTGGAGACAATAGACCATACCATATCCTCTTACACAAATTTCTGTTCAGAAGAAAACGTCTTTTAAATCACCCAATTGTTTTTTTTTTTCAGCCAAAAATTTGCCAAATGTCCCCTCTGCTGCAATTCAGAGGTCCAAAAAGAAAAGAGCTGTGCCTACGTTTTTTGTTCACAAAGTGTGCTCAGAGACCTGACAAAAATACTCACCTTGTTTATCTGCGTCCATTTCAGGAATTTCTTGGAAGGGCAGATGGCAAGAGGAGCCTCCTGGCTGAGAATGAACCAGTCTCCTAAGCAGGAAGTTTTACCGCGGAGGAATGCAGGTGGGGAACAGAAAGGCCACTAAAAGTCATTTCACCTGTGAAACAAGAGTGCATGTGTCTGGGGAGACTCTGAGGTCTCTTGGGAGGATAAAAATAAGGAACGTAGGGGTAGAAGCTCCTTATACTGGTCACAGTTCTGGGAATTTAAAGCTGTGTCTCTGAAACTGAGAACCTCTCCTGAAACTAAGACCACGGCTACTTAGAACTTTTGAGGCATTATAGTTTCAAGAGTGAACTGGATTCTCATTTCAAAAAAATGTCATTTTACTTGAATTTTGAAAGACAAAATTTGAATCCCTCAATGCTTAAATTTTTTCAATGCTCGAATTTCTAATATCACTATGCTAAACAATTCTACATATTAAATTTCTGAAAAACACTATCCATTTAAACACCTTATCACACACAATTCTATATATAGAGTTCAGTTAATATTTATTTTAAAAAGAGTGGTATGTTATTTACCTGTTGTTTCACATTGCGACTATTGTTCAAACTCAATATATATACATATACATGTTTGTTTTTAACAAAAAACGGGTTATGCTATAAGAAAACATTATACAGTTCTTAGAAAAAGACATTTCTTAGCATATGCAGTTGAAAACTGTGTTTAAGAGTAGCATGATAATTAAATTTAAATGGTACTCTCCCTCCTTCTAATGAATAAATTAAGGACACATTATTGGACAGATAAGTAAAATTTTACAAAAAGAGAAATTAATGCCAAAACTAATTACATCAGTTCTTTAAAATTATGGTAGTAATAGTGATTGCAGATTTGTCAAAACCAGGAAGGTTTTAGATATATTCGAGTGAGATTTGTTCTGGAAGTTGCATTAAATGAAATCAGGTAGGAACGCTTCTCGGTGTAGAAATGCTCCCCCAAGCACTTCCTGAAGTCCCCAGGCAGGTCCAGAGGGACCCAGTCTCTTGTCCCATGAACATTACAGCGGGAGCCACAACCTCTGCCTCCACACTGGACCCTTACCTTTCTTAGTTTTCTTGGAGAAGCATTTAGTCAAACCTTCTGCACAAGTCACTCAGAAGTTTTGGAAGAGGGAAAAGCTGAGTAATAACAGACTTCCAGATGTAGCATTCCTAAGGAGCATGGATGTCTGGTCCTGACCGCCCAGCAGTTGCATGCAAAACAGTGACACTGAATCCACAACGTTTTTAAGGGCTCACAGAAGTGCATTCATTAGTAATAAAGATCTTGAATAATTTAAGACCACTCCAACCTCTCTGTTCTAGGGGCTACTTCTGCATTAATTTCACATGTAGGAGAGGCAAGTAAACTGTCTTCTGGGAGCTACAGTAAGTGGGGCTCTGCATCCCAGGTAACAGCCACCTTCCTGACCATCCCAGGTAAGAGCGACTTAGGATTGGAATCTAATGTATTTGATTAATTCTTTTACAAATACAGAGGCCACATATTTTGAAAAGCACCAAATCTAATGCAAAATTATTTTATTAACCTTCAAATGTATAACAATAATTTTCTACAAAGGCACACTTCCTCTTAAATTTTAAGTATAATGTGAAAATACGTCTTTAAAGAAACTTAGATTAAAAATAACACACTGTAATCCTAACAGGGTTAAAAAAATAAAAACGTGTCACATGAACCAAATGTATTAGAACTTCATCAGTAATGTCTTGGGGCTGCCAAGGAAGTGGGGAGTCGATGTTAACATGTTTATCATAAACGTTAGAACCCAAAGCCCAGGCCTGCTTCTCCAGGAGCGGTGCCGGGAGGGCCGGGATGGTTGGCCACCCGTGGTCCCAGCGGAGGCACGGGGCACAGTGATGATGAATGGTCACCGAGCCACCCCAGAATGTCCCGTAATAAAAACCTGCTTTGAAAAGTGAGTATGATATCCAAGCATAGCACATTCATTGTTTGTTTTTGAAGAGTATTAGTATCACAGTATTGGTTTCTTAGAAACTGAAACTTGGGACTTTTAAAAAAAATTGATGAGTAACGGGGCAAAAATGGGGTCAAGTGGAGGGGGCAAAACAATCGATTGCTTTTCTCTGTATAAATCTATTGATTTCCTGGAAGCAGATAAGGCAACATAGGAAGAGAGCAAGGCTATCTCATGTGAAATGTATGCCCGAGTGCTGCAGTCTCAAAATTGAAACCATATTTAGAATTTTTATATTCCATTACATCTGCACCAAGATAGAGCGGAGGTGCTGGCAATGAGGGAGGCTGCGATGTTTTTCTTGATGTTGCCATGTCAAGAGTTGAGCATGTTTCTGGCATTGATTAATTATGTGGATCAAGAATCTTGATAATAAAAATAATAGAACCATTACACTAATAGTTATGGGAATGTGGTCTCTCTCTCCTCGCCCTTCCAAAATATCTTATTGTACTGTTCTCTTTATTCACCTTTTTACTTAAAGGAAACACTTTACGGCTTCTCTGTGGCCTATCCACATTGCCAGCACCACACCTCTGGCACTTGGGGACACTATTAAGTAAAATGAGGGTTACTTGAACACAAGCACTGTGACATCTCCACAGTAAATCTGATACATGAGAAGCTACTAAGTGGCCAACATGGGGAGCGGGGCTGTGTACAGGGTGAAGACCACGAAAGACGGAGTAATTCGTGTCCTCAGGGGATAGAGCAGGACAGTTTGAGATTTCATCATGCTACTCAGAGCAGCATGCAATTTAAAACTCAGGAATGGTATATTTCTGGAGTTTTTTCTTTTAGTATTTTCAGACTGCAGTTGACTACAGGTAACTGAAACGTCAGAAAGCAAAACCGTGGATGACGCAGGGCTACTGCTCTATCCTCTGGTGTAATTCTGTGTTTTATATTAATCTGGGATGAATGTGTGGTAGTAGGTATAGTGATTAAAATCAGTTTGCTCTCTCCTGCAATGGGAGTGTCTGCTAAGGCAACCTGATCATCCGATAGTGGTTCAAAGATACGGTAGTTTGTATGCACCCTGGAAAGTACAGCCTGCCTGGGATGGGTTCAATGTTTCCTACAGCCCCTGAAGAGGAGAAACTCTGCCCACATCTCTCTTCCTACATGTTCACCTATAACAGGAGCAGCTGCTTCTCTGATTGGTCAGAGTTTGACATCTACTGGGAAGAATATCTCTAAGCAGGGGAGCCACTGCCTTGAAAGGCAATGCGTGGTTACGGCTTTGTTCTCTGTTCCAGCTTTTCCAACTGGTTCCTGCTGACAAGTGATTAGCATGCCTGGTTCACGGAGAAAGGAGCAGGGAGCTCTGCTGGGATTTCTCCACCTGAGTTGCATTTTCCCATCTAGCTCAACGTTACAATGCCCCCAAGAAGCCCTGCAGATTGAGGGGCAACCATCACATGCCCAGCTGTGTGCAGAGCACCAGGTGTCTGCCCACCCAGTACTTGCAGCCACACCCCTTTGGTTGAGGTCCCCACAGGGAGAGGCAGTGGACACAGTAGGATTAAGGCACAAAATCTCACCCGAAGTCCTCAGCACAGACAGACCTTAAGATTTCTTTACAATGACATCAAATGAAAACAAGCAAAAGTGAGTCATGGTTTTGAATCATGACAGAAGCAATGTAGGAGCATTCCAAACTTCACTGAATTTTCAGAAAGTAAGTATCTTAAGAGCTATTGAGAACTAGAGAGAAAGCCCAGATATCAGCAGTTTTTAACATGACTTCTGGGCTTTCAAAAGTTCCTAACTGGCATTTGTAAAGGGTCCTATTAGCGTGAAAATATTGAGCATATTGGTTTGACTACTCTTGCTTTAATGAAAGACTGTAATTTTTACTTAAACCATGTAATTATATGGTAAAAATAGTATGCTTTTCTTTTAAAATTCAGGCCACATCTGGTGTCATGAGACAGAAACCTATTCAAGCTAAGCTAAAATAAAACTGTGGTTTATTGTGAAGATAATTAAACCAAGCAAATCCAAGAAAAGACAACGCACCCCCAGGTCTTACGGAGGTGGTGAACCTGACCAGCTCTGAAGACCGCACGGGTGGTCTTCGTGAACCTCCTGGCCGTTCACGGCCAGAACTTTGTGGCCTTCTCTACAGTTACTCACACTCTAACTTCCTCATCCATTTTTCTCAGTTCAATTTTTTTTTTTTAAGAGAGCAAGAGAAAATCCGATTGGTTCTCCTTGAGTAAGGTGCAACTATTCTGGCCAAATTGGTTGAAGCAAACATGGTAAGAAAATCCGAGCAAACTTGGCCACATAGGCCCATGTCTTAGGTACAGCCTGCAGGAGGTAGCAGTTCTCTCTGAAGGATGTATGGACAAGGACACAATAAGTGGTGAATTATTTTACTGTAGTTCAAAAAACGATTGGCACCAAATTGTTTATAAGAAATTGATAATAAACAAACCTCTGAGTAGATACACAAAATAATTGAACTCTGACCTTCTTGTGTGTGTGCTGTCAAACTGTTTAATTGTCTAGCATAATATTATCAAGACTGAAGTAAATCTTTCAAGTTATTCTTCCCTAAGTACAGACATCATGGGTCTTTCTATATTTATTGTGACACCAAATACTTTCATAGTTGGTCTAATTTGATCTGTTACTGTTCCACAGTTTTGCCTTCAGAGTCTGTAAAAGGAAGAAAAAGGAAAAGATGTAACAAATTAAAAAATACATTAGTAACATTTGTTTTTATAAGCTTTTCTGTGCTTCCCTTTCCTTCTGTTTTCCAGATTTCTGGGTTCAATCTGATTCAGCAGCTGAGGGAGTGTGCGTGTGTGAGGGCGATCCTAGGAGGGAATCCTATCGGACCACAAGACCATCATTAGATATTTTCATATAACAAAGTTAAATTCTGCCCTCTGCTGACCTTAATCTATTCCCTTTATGCTCGATCTCTCCTGGCTCCTTTGCTTCTCATCCTGAATTTTATTTGCAGCTATATTGTCAGTTCCATTTCTTCCCTCATTCCTGCTTCTCCTCCGTGCGTGAATTCTAATTTCCCACGGTTGGCCCACTCCAAAGCCGATTATACTGTTCATTTTTGGAATGAAAGATGCAATGAATTCGTTTATTTGATATTCAGATAAAAGTTAGGTGTGAGTGAATATTCTGATTGGCCAGCCACGAAGAAATCTACATCAGCCTTGTTTTCATCAAGTATGGAGACAGCTCGGATACATACTTTGAAAATCTGGACTCACAGATGTTTCTCTGTCCATTTCCTTATTCATTCATTCCGAGGGAAGGATTGGGTTGTCATTTCCATTGTCCTGGTTATAAAAACAGGAAGCTAGATTCTAGGGGAGTCAGCAAGGCCGATCCCCGAGGATGTGAGGGGGGAGGGTTTGGAAAGAACCCTGTCACGAGGACATGATCTCTTCTACCCAGTTCCATTTATGGAATAAGAAAAGACTATCGAATGTTTTGTCTGCCACCTGCCAATTATGCGTTCTTGACTGAGGGGTTTTTCAGAGTTGATTTTAGGAATCAGATCTGAAAAATCCACTGTGGTAAATAGAGAATTAAAAGAGCAGAGTTTTTAGTGTTTAAAGCACATTGATTTTTTTGCAGTTATTCCCCTTTTTCCCTTTCTTGTTCCTTCCAGTCCAAGTTCCTCTCTTTGGGAGATGCAAGCTGCCAGGTCTCTTTGATGTGGAGTCTCAACCCCCCCACAGTGGCTTATCCATGGCAACCGATCAATGTTTCTCTCTTACATCCATGTTTCTCTCCCTCTTCTCCCTCCCTTTCCTTTTCTCTAGAACCAATAGAAGAAAAAAAAATTAAAAACCAGTTAAATTTAAAAAATTTACAAAGTATATTTTTTTCACCTTCTTCAGAGTGTTTACAAAGTATAAGAAAAGAAATGAAGTTATTTCAAAGTTACTTCAGTTACTGAACTTCGTTTTTCTGACCACAACGTCATTCTCTAAGACTGAACCACACGAGTTATGACTCTTAGCACTACAGCCATCGCTTCTAACTCAGTTGACTTACCATCTGGCATAACCAGATCTTTTTCTTCCTCTTGGGTTAGATCAGAATGAGTGTTAGCTTTATGTTCTGAAACCAAAACAAGATAAAACATGTTTGGTTTAGAATATAATTAACGACCTGTGAGATGTTTTAAGTCAGTATTTTCAAACTTTGTTGACCATGACTCACAGTAAAAAATGCATTTTACATTCTTGCAGTCCAGTATGTGCACTTATGTGCAGATAATAAAACAAAAACTTACGTGACACAATACTTACTCTTTTCCAAACTTCTTACCGTTGTCTTATCTTTTCCACTTATCTTTTTCTTTATATTTTATTCTAGTTCACAGGGAAAAAATCCTGGCCTTCTTACCCTTTATTATCTATTTTATTCCAGTTCAAAAAAATGCTAGTTAGTTATTAAACTTATTTTATGACCCACTAAATTTTTTTCACAACCCACCTAACCCACAATATGGGAAGTATAATGTTATATTTGATTCTAATGCTCCTCAACCAATAGCCCCAAAACAACCTGAAATCAACCCAATTACCTCCACTTTATCAACACTAAATTTATTTTGTCTGCATTAGGTTATCATTTGTTAGAGGGTCTTAGAACCCAAAATGTTAATTAACTTAAATTGTCCCGATGCAGAGACTTGGGAATACATACTCTGCAATTTGGTTTCTCTCCCTCTGTCCTGGGAAGCTGCCAGTTGCCCTCTTCCTGAAAGATCTTACAGTGTTCCCAGACCTCCCTCCAGAGATTTAGTGCCCTCAGTCCTTTCCTTGAGGATGCGCCCATCACACTAGTTAGAACAGCGGGCATAATAGTGCTGCTACCTAGATGCCTAGCGATGCTTTTCTATCTGAGTGGGCCTCCTAAGATCTCTGGTGTGCCTGGGACTGAACTCACCACACTCCTCTGGACACTGGTTTGGGCCGCTTGATCATCCTCTAGAAGGCTAGTGATAAAGCGGGTTAGTCCTCGAAGCCTGATCCCATCTATTTTATGCTTTGTCCCGCCACCCACCAGCCTATTGCTGAGCTCCAGACCAACCACTCAACCAAACACAGGTGCACCCTACCTGCCCTTTCCAGCTGTGCTCATTGTTTTTGAATCTTCTGTTCTTGTTCAGCTACCTTTTGTACTGTCTTCTGAATATCACTTTATACTGTCTCAGGTTCGTATTTCTGGCCAGGTCCTGATCACCTGAGATGCCCCCTTTGCCCATGGTTTTCCTCTGGTGGGGGAACGTTCAGGGTCTCTTTCCGAGCCAGCCCTCTGCTTGCACACCTCTTTTCCACTAAATTACATGAGTAATTCCTACTCATTCCTCTGGACTCAGCTCCCATTTCATCTCTCCCTGAAAGCCTTTCATCACACTCTCAGTCAATGTCAGGAGGCCCCCTCTGTGGTCCCATTGTACACTGGGCCTCTCTGTATCATGACGCTTCTCAGTAAGGTAGTTTGGCTATTTCCCAGGCTAAAATGGTGAGCACTTTGAGTACAAGAGCAATATTTGATTTATGTTTATGTCCTTAGCACCTAGCACGGTTTTTTTTTTTATTGCAGTAAAAACATATACGTGAAACCTATCTGTTTAATAAAATTGTAAGTGTACTATTATTAACTATATGCACATGGTTGTACAGTAGATCTCTAGCCTTTTTTTTTTATCTTGGTGAATGAACTAGTACAGTTTGTGAATAAAAGCCCATTTGGCTATCTTTAGCCATCTCAGCTCACAACTAGACTTCAAGATACTGTTAAATTTTCTCCTTTATACAGTACAGAATATTTCCTTTCTTTGTAAGTTTCAAGTTTCTAGATTACTTATTATGGATGCTCTTTCATTCTGACTTGTCTTGACCTAGTTTTGTTGAGGTTTTTAATTCATTGCGTACCTTGGCATTTACCTTTCCATATTCTCATGGCTCCGCTCCCCTAGATGTGCTGTGTGGCCATAACCGCCTTATCAGGTCCCCCAGTGCCTCTCACAGTGACTAGCACATAGGAGGTGCTCCATGAATATCTAGTAATTTCCTCCCGAGATTTTAATTGATTTTAAATGCGATCTTATATTTGAGTGGAAGAGGGTGATAAAGGACTCAATTCTTACTTAATGGCTAATAGGTAGCTAAATTCTTTGAAATTTAGTAAAAATTCTTTGCAATTTAGTGTTAAATCTTGGAAGAAAAGGGCATTTCTTTTTTCCAATTGATATATACCTACCATCCGAGTCTTGCTGATTTTCCTGGTTGTCTTCTGTGGCACTGAAGGTGGTCTCTTCAGTTTCTGAAAGTCAGAAAATTAAGTATTAACTTAATTGAAAAGAATAAACAATTCCCCTACAAGAATCCTCTCATTGATATGTTAATTAGCAGAGCTGCCCAAACTCTGCAAAGTTCTGATTATTTTCAAAGCTCTAATCTTGGAATCTCTGGAACAGTGTTTTGGGCAAAGTCCAAGGGTGACAGAGTCAAGATCAATCAACTCTATGCACACCTTAAACTCTGTTAATAAAAACATAAAATAGGTAATTTTCTTTCACAAAATCCTCTGTAACGCAAGTGTTATGGGAAATTTAGGACTAAATACCAGTCAATGGAGTCAAATTTAGAATGACTGCTTTATAGCCCATTATCGTGAAAGGAATTTACAGCTTTAGAAGTCAGCCTAATGCAGGAAGCCACACAAAGGGTCTCTAAATTCTGAGAATAAAGGTTTTGCATTAAAATCAACTGCTCCTCAGACTTTTGTGCCTGCAGCCTCTGCCTCTGCCCCGCCTCTGGGCTTTGTTTGGTTTGGCCCACTCCTGGTGACTTGACCACCGGCCAGACTGAGCGTGAGTTCCCAAAGCCCACCCTCTGCCATAACCTCTCTTCCTTGCAGTCGCTCTGCCCTTCCTCCTACTGCTGGTACTTTGACCAGTGACCTCCCTAAACTCTCTGTGGCCTGGACCCAGGGTAGCAGCTGTCCTGTCTCTAGCCAGTTTTTCTTTTTCTTTTTTTTTAAAACCAGTTAACTCATTCTGAAAGGGAGAAACTGTTTTAATTGGTTGAAATATATATCATACTGGTTGTTAAATATTTTCAATACCACCCCCTGCCTGGAGCTTTTAATTTAATTTCTCTTTATTATTTCCTTCTTTATCCAATCTAAACCACTATAGTTCACCACTTCATGGCTTTCTTGCAATTATCCTCAACTTCTTTGACTTACCTCCTTCCTTCCAAAATGGTAAGTAAAATATCAAAACTGCTCATTTTCCATTTCCAATGCCAATGACCAAATTAGCTTAGCACTCATTTAGGGTGCCAATAAAACAAGAGAAGGATGAGAAAAATAAAAACTTTTGTGAAATAATTTGATATTCTAAATAAGGGCATCATGGAAATATTCAGAATTTTGTTGGAATACAGTGTAGTGCTGTTTTTATTATAATTGCATTATTTCGATTGCAGGGACGGTGGTACGCTCTAATAATTCAGATCTTATTACAAATCGTGCATCGAGGTTTCCACTCCTGTGTCCAGGCAGCTGAGCACCTTAGTAGGAAATCACACAGCCATACATTGGAGCTACTGCAAATTCAGTTTCCCACTTCTACTGAGCCCTCAGCTTTGAAAAAAAAAAATTCTGTGTTTTCCCTTTGTCCTTTCCTTTCCTTTCCTTTGAACAGTTACTTCAAACCTTCACCTCTTCCTTTCTAACAGTAGCCTCTCCCCTATTCCTGGGGACCTGGTCTTGCTGCCTATTTTCTCCTGACACCACCCTCCATCCTACATACTCTCCTGTATCCATGGTCCTCACCTCTTAGCTTCACTTGGGCCTTCACCGCGAGGCACTTCCTGTTTGAAGCTGACCCCCTGTTCTGGAGTTGTTTTCTAATGCTGCCTTGAGGATCCTTCTCACTCCCCTCTGTCTACACCCTCTCCCTCTCCAATGGTTGCTCAACATTAACCAGAAACATGTGCCCATCACTCATCAGACATTTTCCCTTAGATGTGTCTTGAATATCTGTCTGCTCCTTCTATATTCCTTGGCTTAATCACAGCTTTCTAATCTTTTTAATGACTTGGTACGCATAGCAAATGACAAGGGCAATAGAGACAACCAACCTGGGGACTCCAGCGGCCCCAGACTCAGACCCTGGGGCCAAGGAGACCAATAGCTCGGCACACCCCGCCCTTTTGTGGCTGACTGCTTGGGAAGTTTTCTCCTGGGAATGACACCACCATATGTCCAGATGCCAAAAACATCAGAGGGTTCTTGACTCCCTGGAGCTCTCTCTTGCCCTCTCTCTCAGGTTGGTCAAATTCTGTCAATTTTATTGCTTTCAAACTAGCCCCTCCTTTACCTTCCCATGGCTGCTTCTTGGTTAAGGCTCTTATTATTTCTCTACCTGCAAAAGAACTGGTCTTAACTACTTTTGTTCTCTCCCTTCCAATTCATGCTTCCCATTATGAACAGAGTGATCGTTCTAAAGTTGGAATCTGCTCCTGTCCCTTCACTGCCTAAAATGTTGCATTGGTTTCCACAAGGTGAGTAACCTCTCTGGCTCCTGACATTTCTAAACTCAATTTATTTTCCAGGTAAAATAAATTGACAGTTTGCAAAAAGTTCTTATTTCTCTGCCTTTGTACATGTTGTTCCCTCTGAATGGAATACCCCTCCTATTTAGCTTAGCTAATTCCTTCCTTCCTCTTGTGACTGGGTTCAGATGTCACCTCCTCCAGAAAGTCCATGTCAGTGGCCCTTCGCAGGGTTCTCAGCACCCAGCACGCTCCCCTGGCCCACAGCACTGAACATATCAGCTCCATAGCCAGAGTGTGGCTCCTGAGGCTAGGCTCCTCCCCTCCCACTGTGGTCTCATTTCCACACTCCCATTCCCCAAAATTGCTCTCATTAAAGTCACACATGCCCTCTATGCCATATATCCATGGGGTACTTTTCAGGTCTGACAGTGTAGACTGGCCCATGTTCCTGAAATACCTTCTGTCCTTCAGTTTCCCAAGACATCAGATTCCAGAGAATTGTCCTTTTCTCTGTGACCACTCCTTTCTCATAGTCCGCTTTTAGTGGTCTCCTTGATCACTAAAGACTAAAGCCCTCTAGGCCTTCTCCTCACACACTTCTCTAGACAACATCCATCACGCTCATGGCTTCATTTCTACTTACGAGGCAACAACTCTCAGACCAGATCTTTCTGAGCTCCAGAAGTATGCAGTTCTCTATCAAGTATTTCCATTTTAGATATCCCATAGGTAATTCAGAGTCATAATGTAAGAAATTGAACTCATTCTTCCTCTACTCTGACACTGTGCCCTCTTCTGCCACCGAATACACACATATATCCTCTCTTTCTCAAATAACATTCTATTACTATTCCCCTCCCCCACCCCCCACATCACCCAATCCATCCATTGCTCAACAAGAACAAGCCTGATTCTCTGTTCACCCCCAGAGTCAGTCTGTCATCAATCTGTCAGCCTGCATAATTCCACCTCCCACATATTGCTCCAAATTCTCCTGATTCTGGCCTCGGCTGCTATCATCTCTTCCTGGTGTCGTTCCATATCCTCCTCCTCCGCCTAGCCTTTCTGCAAACAGTCTAGCCTTGTTGCAACCTGTTTTCTAAAGTAACTGAGAACTGATCAGGTCACTCCATCCAGCAGCCTTCTGTCATGCTCATATCTGCTCTTCAAGTCACTGCCTCTCAGCTTCATCTCTTCAGGCTTTAGCAACAGAGGCTTTACTTTAGTTTTTCAAACAAATTGATGGATGCTTTCCTGTCTCAAGCCCTTTCTTTATATTCTCAGGCATAAGCTCTCACAACACGGCACCTTGTATTTCTCATGCCTAAGACTCACCACAACTGTAGTCATTGTATAATTTATGATCCTTGATGGACTGTAGGTTCCAAAGGGGCAAGAAAGAGTCTACCTTATTCACCCTATGTTTGCAGTTTCTAGAACTAGCTTGTAGTTGGTATATCATAAATATTAGTGGAAGGAAAGAATGCTGGGCTTTCAAAAGCATTTAAATAAAGCTCTTTGCATAAATAGTTTATTTCTATGTTCCTGCTTCCATAGTTAATATTTTCTTTAAGGCAAAAGAAAGAAAATTCATAGCATTTCCTTGTGAGTTTATAATTAAGAAAAATAAGCTTATTGCAATTATTTTTCTTTTTAAAAGCTATCAACAATAAATGTAGTATTGCAGGGTTGAACTGTGTTCCCAAAAAGATATTTTAAAGTCCTAATCCCTGGTGCCCGTGAATGTGATCTTATTTGGAAATAGGGTTTTAGCAGATATTACCAAGTTAAAATGGGGTCATGCTGGATTAGGGTGGGCTCTAAATGCTGTGACTGGCGTCCTTGAATTTGGAAACACAGACACACACAGGGGAAGGCAGACATGTGAAGACAGAGGCTGAGATTTGAGGGATGCAGCCACAAGCCAGGAATGCCAATCACTGCCACTCGATGGTAGAAGAGGCAAGGAATGATTCTCCCCTGGAGCCGTCAGAGGAAGCATATCCCTGCCCACACCTTGATTTGGTCTTCTAATCTCCAGGGCCATGAGCGAATACATTTCTGCTGTTTTAAGCCATCCAGTCAGTTGTAATTTACTATAGCAGCCCTAGGAAACTAATGTGTATGGATGGTATGCCCAAAATTTATAAGGTCATAGTGTTTTTAAGATGTGATTTCTTTAGTGTTCTTATGGGATGTTTTATTTCAAAGGACCCAGTAAACTTGGCAGTTTATTTGACCAATAATTTGGTTTAAAGGTGATATGACATGGATTATATTTATCTACATTAAAGTGACTCAGTTTTAACAAATATTTTAATGCTCTTTTAAGAGCAGCCTCATAACACATCACATCTAAAAGATTACCTGGTTGATACGGCTGAAAATAGCTCAACTCTCCAAGTGCAACAAGTATCTCCTGTTGAAAAATTTTATAATCAGATAATGAAATAATTACAATATTAACTTAATCATTCTTTAATGGATAAACACTTTGATTCTGATTTTTAAATTGCCATCAAATTTTTTTAACATACCAGAAATTATATAACCAAATGAGTTGTGTATATTTGCTGATTTTTTCAAACTTGTGTTGGTTCCTTATTGTTTTTAGGAATAAGATTCAAACTGAATCCCCCCCAAAACAAATGTATGCCTTTGCCTAAGGGAATGGGTTTAAGATCATCTTTCAAGTCAGTTGCCTTGTATCTGTTCTGATATTACCTGAATTAGGTCACTTGTCATTCTGGTCATTATCTGTTCACTTAATTCAATATCTTTGAGATCTGTGAGGACCACCCAATTTCCATTCTCACATTTCACAGGCATGGAGAAGACGATACCTTCAGGAATACCAAACTGGCCTGCAGTGAGCAAACGCAAAGCAAAGCAAAATAAGAACAGTCAAAAGAGTAAGTCATACATACCTATTAAGCATTGTGGAACAGGCTTAGGACATGCTTTGTAACAATAACAGTGGAACTAAATTTCTGGTGACTCCTCCCCAGGGAGAACTGAAACGCTCTAGAAGCATTGATGGGACATCTGTTCAAGCTGACAACCCCCTTTCTGTGTCTCTCTCGAAAGAGGGCACCACCATTGCTTCTTCTTCATCTCCTTTGGCCTGGGTTCAGACTCTCCTCTGCCTGGAGGGCTTCTGCAGTCTTTCTCCTCCATCTTGCTTGGTTCCTTTTGTCTACCATCCAAGGCTTTTTTGTGTGCCCCTACAGAGCCTATGAGCCCCAGGCCTTTGTCCAGTGTGGACTTCTGCTCTTCTATGGGAAAATGGTGGTCACAGAACTAAGGTATGAGGACTGGGAAGGAAAAGGGAGGGAGCAGGAAAGTTGGTGATTTCTTCCCAGCTCCCCTTTTGAATGTGGTCCAAATGAAAAGATTGATAATACTTGTTACTCACTGAGCAACATTCAGATAAAATTGCCTTCCTTTTGTGCCTCAATCAAATTAGGAAATTATGCTTGTCATTCTAGTCATCAAAATATTGCCTCCAGGGCAAAAAAAAAAATTTCAGGTATTCAGAAACTAGGATCTAAAAAACTTTGCCTCAGAGGGTGTCTCAGGTCCTCTACTTGTTCACTCTCTTTGTTTCCTCTGTGAAAAGCCAGCTATAAGCGGGGACAACATTTGAGAATTTACTTATGAGCAGCTCCAGAGAGACAATGATCACTGGCTCCTTTTCCCCAATATTGCATTGTTTATTGATGAACTCCTAAAGAGATTAATTGAATTTTCTACAAATAAAGATACGGTTTAAAATGCCTATTTCACTAAAAAAGTAATATACTGATTTGACTTGACACAAGATTCATTGCGTGTCTACCGCGAAGGGGCAGTGAGAAGATGCAGCTGGGGGAGCGGCCCTCAGGGTGTACTCACTCTGATGGAGGACACGCATGCAACTAACCGCGCCATCCACGAAGGCAGGCTGTAACGTGCTTTCTGACGAAGGGACATAATGCATTGGAGTGCAGAGGAGAGACAGAGATTAATCTGACCTGGGGGAATTGGGGAGATTTCCTTGATTTGGGGAGGATGGTGCTTCCACTAACATTCAAGAAATATAAGGAACATAATTATGAAATCGTGAAAATCCAGAAAACTTACAGATCGTGTTAAGAGATACAGGCAGAGACACAGAAGTAGGAGTACAATCATACATGTAGGTTTTTCACTATTACAAGATAGGAAAGACCCAGGTTTACCTCCACTCAACACTCCTAAGGACACAATCTCTCCGGGGGGGGAGCCGTGGTACCAGTATTTCAGCGTAGTGGCTATACTGTGAGCAGCTAAGATGCCTCCAAATTGTTTCCCTGTGGAGGTCCACTCGTGAAGAGTTGCCACAAATTCTCTGTTCACCCACTCACTATAAAGAGAGAAGGAAACACTTTTTCAATGGAAGGAGAAATAGAAATGAAAAGGGCTGTTTCCTGGGTCAATGAGTCTGAGCACAAGAAGTCATCTCCACAAAACAGAGATATGACTTCCTGTGTTCTTTCTTCAAGCTTCTTCGATCCCATAAAAAGTCGATTGAGAAGTAGTGAAAAGGAGCAGAAACAAATCCCCAAGATTCAAACTAAAAACATGATAATACACATATGGAGCCCAGAAAAGTGGTCAAAGGCTGCCAGAACAGATACTTTCATTACAAAGAATGCATGTTATGTAGATACTATCTTGGACCCAATGGTATCCTTCATTTTAAATAAAATAACATCATAAAACACTGAGTTATTCATATTGAAAACTAGGGAAATAATGATGTTTTTATAGTCTGAAGCGTTAAGTCAGGGCCTCATCCAGCTGGACTAGAGCAAGCCCTGAACGGCTTGCCCTGCTTAGCCAGCACAACAGAGCTCCATGGGGAGCTGCGCCGTCCAGGCAGCCAGTGTAGAGGAACCAGCCCCCAAGAGGGTAAACTAGGGACGGACCAAGTTTCTAAGGTCTGAGGGAGGAAAGGGAGGGGCATTGGAAGGGAAAGTGCTGCAAAGTTTAAAAAGATGCTTCAAACTTTGTATAAAAATAACTTGACATTGTTCACACTCATGTTTGTGTATGCTCTCTGTTGAAGAAACATAGAAAGTTCCATAGGATTTCAACTAGTCACTCCCCGCCCCCCATTTATTTGGTTTTGAAATGAATTTTTATATTTCAGATTATCCTTAGAGTGGCTCACATATTCCATTCACGATCTCTCTAAAGCTCCCCTGCCCCTTTCTCTCCGTTGCCCTCGCACCGTGGTAGTGTTGACTGTGGTGGGCACAGTTCTACGTGCTTGACCTATAATAGTAACGCATTTAGTCTTCCTCACAACCTTAGAAGGCCCATACTGTGTTACCATTTCCACTTTGCAGATGAAAACGCTGGGGAATAGAGAGGGGAAGGAACGTGTTCCAAGTCACACAGCTAATGATTGGGTAGGTGAGAATTTCAGCTCAGGTGGCTTGGTTCTCAACCCCTATATTCTAAGAGAAGGGTGCTCCTCACCCTTCTCCATCCTGCCTCTCCTGGGGCAGAGCACCCAGCATGGCCCAGGCCTGCTCACCAGCTTAATTCCTTGTTCTTGAAAATGTTCAACTCATTTCAACTGGGATACATAGCTCTGTCTTTAAGTTAATAAGATTCACTTTATGCTTGCCCTAGAGAGATCTTGGATGGAATGTGTGAGCCACTTTAAGGGTAATCTGAAATATAAAAATTTATTTCAAAACCAAAAAATGGGGGGTGGGGAGTGACTAGCTGAAATCCTGTGGAACTTTCTATGTTTCTTCAACAGAGAACATAAACAAACATGAGTGTGAACAATGTCAAGTTATTTTTGCACAAAGATTTCCAAGATCATTTAAAAGATTATAACTATTAAACATGTATTCAATATTGTTAGTATACTTCACTTAAAATTACACAGTACCTATCAAAAACCAAGCTTAAAACAGGGCGTGAAAAGTGAGGAGGTCCCCAAATAGCACTGTCATGTCTGTAAACCTTGGCTTTTCTCAGATCAGCATAGCTATTTCCACTAATATTACCCCAAATTATCACATCTTTGATGCCTGTGAAGAAAAGAAATAAAAATTAACATAATAATGAACATTAATTGAAAAAACTGCCTGCAGCCTATTTTTTGTTTTTGTGTTTGTTTTAGGATTGGTCCTTTGACTATAAAACAGATCTAAGTTTGTGTTGCCTGAAACTGCAAATGATGTGGATCAATCATCTCTTAATCAGGGGTCGGCAATCCTTATTAATGCCCTATGAATGGTGTGGGCATAGAATTGATATCAAGGAATACTGAAATGCTCCCTGAAGAAATTGCTACTGAAAATCATACCACTGGCACTGGTTTGATTACTCTGCTTGCCTTAGGAGAACCTTTTATCTGCTTTGATTCTGAAAAAAAGTCCTTGATTCTAGACTGGAATGAAAATTTGGGCAAATCACTTAACTCCCTGGGTGGGTTATGTTTGCTGCAGAATGAGGGTGTTCTAATGAAGGGACCCTGAGGAACATTTTAATCAATGCATAGTTACCAAATTAGCTTCTATGTATGAGGCACTTCTAGGTGGTTGGCTTAGAAGAAAGTCAGTTAGCCCAAATCCCTGCAACATTCTGGGGGTGGAAGGGAGTGGAAAAGAAAATAATTTCTATACAAAGTGATGCGTACTTTAAAGAAAAATAAGAGGATGGGGTTCAAGAGAAATAAGGATTGGTATTAATTTTGATTCTGTAATTGTAAATTTTCTAGAATTACTGTATCCAAAGTGAAAATAAGGAATTTTATTGATTTATTTATTAACTTGTATATTTTCTTAAAAACTCAATTCTCTTATAAGGTTGCACAACTTCCTATATTAAAGATGAGATTCTTTCCTACTCTCCTGTATGAGGTGAGATTGCTGTTGGTTTCAAGTAATAGAATATCTTACTGACTTGGCTTAAGTAGAAGGGATTTTCTTTCTCAGATAATAAAATGTCAAGGTAGACAGTGACACTGGTGCTTGTTCAGCAGCTCACAGTTGCCATTCTCTTGGCCTTTCCCTCATTGTGCTAAAATGGCTGCAGCAGCTCAAGTATCACACTCGTACAGTTGTGTTCAAGGGCAGGCGGTTGGGGAGAGAACGAGACAGAGGCTTCCTCTTTTGCCTTTTAAGGGAGTGAAATATCTTTTCTAAGGGACTTTGCAAGTAGACTACATCACTTGACCACCCCTAGATGCAAGAGAAGCTGAAAAAGAATGAGTGTCTTTTTGAAATGTACAGCAAGAGATCGGGCAGGGGGAGAAATGGCTGAGAAATAGATCTTGTGTAGTCAACCATCAGTGTCTCCTGTGCTCCTCTGAGATTCTTTCTCCCAACAAAATGACTCATGAAGTAGGAATAGCCTGTGCTCCCTCAATCACCCAACTCCTAAGAGAGCTAGTGCTGTGCACTTGGGCTCCTCTGTTAGCTTCATGTTGTAGGAGGGAAGGGAATGTGGTAGTCTGGTGTGCAGCTCATTGGATCCCACATGGGAAAAAGAATTCTCCAGCCCCAAGTAAGCATATGGTAGGCTTTCTTCCCAAAGCCTAAAAAAAGCCTTTAAATCTTATTGGGTATTGTTTTTCTATCAGCTTTCAGGGTCTTTATAACTCAAGTGCCCTAAATTATACTAGACATCTGCTTTTTTTTTTTCCTCCTCGCATCTCTTCTTACTCTCTTTCTTTAACAGCACCCCGGTGTTTCTTTAAATAATCACTGTTCCCCAATCCCAGTCCCTGTGGATTGAGTGGGGCCATCCTCACCTCTTAGGTCTATCAATAGACGTGAAACCAAAATTCCAGATTCTTGGTCACAATGACTGAGTTCAGAGATGGGTCTGTGGTCCCGGCCTGGCCAATGAGGTATTGTCCTGCTAGTTCAAAGAACCGAGGGAGAGCAAGAGTGCTGCCTCCCACTGGGGTAGCGAAGTTATGAAGATGTGAGACTAGGGATGCCAGGGATCATTTTGCTATTTCTTAGAGAGCCTGCCTCTGGGCCAAGCCAATGCTGAGGAAAGCAGAGCTGACCAATACGCCAAGAGAGAGCACAAGCCAGTCCTGACATCCTCACATAAGCCTCAACCTCCAGCTATGCCTGAAATCAGAACTCCCTCCTACACTTTTTAGTGATGTGAAAGAGTTCTCTGTTTGACTTTAATCACTTTGAGTGGACGTTCTGTCACCTGCAGCAGAAAGAGTCCCAATTAAACAAAAGCACGTAGTCTGAGAGACTGAGCTATGTGTGAACTGAACTCGGGATATCCCGAAAAGGTTTGCTACCCTCTTGGCACTTGGAACCTTCCCTGAATGATTCCCTTTGATGGCTTTTGCGTTTCACATGATTTTGTTTAGCTCTGCCCCTGCTGTTGCTGAGTTTCTTCTTGCTACTTCACTGACAATTCTACATTGACTGCTGTCCCTCTTATGTCTCTCTTTCCTTTCCCCAATTTTTGTTTGTTTTTCTCTTTTCTGCTTCTCATAATATGCTTGTCTTTGAGTATAGCAGGGCTTAGAATTTATGGCCTCAGCAGACCCACAAGAGAGCAGCCTCCTGGTTGAAAGCCCCAGCTACCCCGCACCGCACCTCAGTTTACATTTTGTAGCCCTGCCCCTCTTGACACTTCCATCAGCGTATCATAGACCTTTTGTGATAAATCAGTATCTGCATGTATGCATATAAGGTTGGTTGACAACAGAGCTAAAATGATTAGAAAATATTTTGCTTTCCTATTGAATAATTTTAGTATCAATCTGGCTGAGGTAAGCATTGACCCTGGGGGTAAGATGCTAAAGATCTGTATTTATGCAAGAATACCAGGAGTTATGGTTCCAGGACTTCATTCTAAAGAAATGGATAGTTCAGCTCTTGCTATAATGCATTAGGGACTCACTGAAGTCCTTTATAGCCCCATTCAGAGCATTCTGGGCTCATATTTCACTATCTTCCCATTTGCTGGAGGGAATGCCTCGTACTTCCTTGCATTCTCAAAGGACTCTGCTGTGCCCGCTGCCTCTAAGGCCACAAATAGCTAAGATTTGTCAAGTATGACAAATATTACTTAAATATAGCACCCTTTAAATATAGCATCCTTTTAAATACACAACAGTGCATTTTCTGTTCCAGTCTCATCCTCATATGACTCTAATGTCTATTAGTTCAAAGATTAATAGTAGCAGAAACCTATCGGGTGTCATAATCCCATGGCCATGTTTTATACCCCTGCATATGTTTACCGCGTGCCAGGTGCTCTTCTAAGCGCTTAAGAAATATTATCTCCTTGAATCCTCACATCAGTTCTAGGTGCTACTAGCATTCTCATCTTGCAGGTGAGAAAACTGAGGCACAGCCAGGTTAAGTAATTGTCCAAAGTCACACGATTAGGAAGTGAGGTGCAGCCACTTAACATAGGGCTTCATTGTCAATTTTTTAAAAATTATTTTTTTAAAAACACTGATTTACCTTAGTTAACTATTATCATAGAAAAATTATCATGAAACCTAATGGTTTCAAATTATTACTGGAAGAGTATAAACCAATTTAATATTATACTTGCTTATTAATTTTTATAATGATGGACAGAGTCAGGTAGTCATGAAAGCCAATTAAAAAAAAAATCCTTGCACAGTAGACAAATCACACAATAAGATCTTTGTATCTGCCTCTTACTTCCTAATCCAGATTCCAGAAGGATCCTAGGGGGTACGGTGTTCTTCCTAGCTGCTTTGAAATCATGCCGTTTAGAAACAAAACCAGAAACAGGAGTTCACTCACATGAGGGGGTTGTTTTCAGTTTCCTGGCCACTGCAGCTTTGGCTTGCCCTTCCACCCCCAGCGCCACCGCGATAATATTATGGGCGACGCTGGGGGCATATCTCATCAGCAACACCGTTTTAAGGTTGACGAAGGTTTTCCCTCCTACGATCACTCTGACAGATTCATGAGCGTTCTTCTCGATCAGGTCCCCATAGAGCCTGCACAGAGGCTCCCTGCTGCGTATGAACTCCTCCAACGAGCGCATCTCCCTGTCGATGGGGTCATCCAGGATGATGACCACGCGGGCCTGGTGGAAGGCTTCCTCCGCCCTAGTGCAGACGGCGACGCTCCGCAGCAAGGGCGAAACCAGGTCCCGAGTCTCTGACGCAAGGATTTGGAGAGTTTCTTCCGTGTGTTCATTGTCAAATAGAGTTATGCTAATTTCCGTGTATGTTCCAAACACTTCGCCGCTGGTCAGGATGGGAATGAGGTTGTAGCAGACAGAGGTAGAAGCACTAAGAACAATGCAAAGCCTGATTAGGAATGGTTTAAATCCTTTGTCCCTCGTAAGCCTTTATCCATAATAGATATTTCTGCACGTGCATTAATAGGGTGATTTATTATTTTAAATAGGCATACACAGCTGTATAAACATGTTTCCATATTTTGCACAAGCTGTTGTTTCTGTTTAAAAAATTATCTTTATTGAGGTATAATTGACAAATAAAATGGTAAGATAGTTAAAGTATGTAAGTTTGTATATGTACATATTGTAAAAGGAGTCTTCCCATCAGGTTAATTAACATGTTCGTCACCTCACATATACACATCACCCCTTTTATTGATGAGAACATTTAATTTTGATGGCTAAAATTCAAAAGCAGAACAAAAAAAGTTCTCCCTACGAATCCCTTCTTCTGGTCATTTGAAAACCATCCCCAAATAAGAAATGTACCTGTTTATAAGGCTTTTCAAATTAAAATAGAATATGCAGAAGGCAACATTTCAGAGAACTGTGTCATACTCCTCTAATTACATGCTTACATTTTCTCTTAAGAAGATAAAGAAATAACAAATTTCTTTTAACCATAGCTCTTTTGTATGGTATACCCTTATTTACAAAGCAATGACAATTTCCGGAAAGGACTATTCCTTTTTAAATCCTTACGAAGAAGCCCAGGATTTGCACAGCCTAGGTCTCAGTACCTGTACCCATAATTCAGCAGATACTTGGGCACTGTATATATGGTAAGCTATCCATTGGGAACTGTAATGACTCCTGAATGGAGTTTGAAATGCATCTGGGCATGTTTGGTTTACACAGTGGGTTTGGGGAGGGTACCATGGGGTTTCAACAGTAGCGGAACCATTTTAATCCTTAAAAAAACCTTAAAGCAGATGTAATATTTATGAAATCTGGGGGCTAGGTTCATGAGAGTTCATTACATCATTCTCAATTCTTTTCTGTATTTGAAATATGTCATAAGAACTTAATTTTTAAATGAATGGCTCCTTTAGGACATACACACACATAGTCAGAAGGGCAGTGTGAGACAGAGATCGAGGGGTGGAGAGAGGAAACAGGGAGGGAGAGACAGAGCAAGATAGACAGCAAGAGGGGCAAAGAGAGGGACAGGGTGCAGAGATATAAAGAAAGAAAAAGCAACGACAAAGACGGCAAGTGCCCAAGACCGGAACAATGAGGAGCAAAAGAGAGAAAGAGAAAGAAGGAACAAGACTAAGGGGGGTGAGGATGCAGGGAATGAGTGTATGATGAACGTGGAGGCAGCTCTCGCAGGCAGGAATGGAGGGGGCAAGGGTCAGGGAGGTGGGGAGTGGGGACAGGGGGAAGTAAGCAAGGGAGAGGGAAGGAAAGGCACCAAGGCCAAGGGCAAGATCCCAGCAAGGGTGAGCAGGAGACAGAGGGAGAGACACAGAATGAGGGGATGAGGGCTGCGGACAGACGTACCAGAGTAAATGCCTTTGTTAAAGTTGCGCTTAGATTTTAGTATGTGCATATATATACGTACACACATATTAAATCTATATATGATCTAAAGATCATATGTGGGCTATATTGGAGACACACACACACATACAAATCTCACACTTGACATTCAGATATTCTTCTATATGGAATCAATCCCACATCCTCCTCCTTTCTAAATATAACAAGTCTATCTCACGAATCCTGGGGTTTGACTGTCCCACCTGGTTATCCAGACGTGCAAGGGATCACTGAGGTCTTTCTGGACTTCTTTCTCCAGCTCTTTTTTAATATGTGCCTCCAGGTTCTCTTGAGCAATGGCCTTCATCAGCTCAGTTGTCATGCTAGAGGTGACACCATAGTAAAGCTAAACATTGCAAAAGAAAAAGTCAACACCAGGGAAGAGACAATTAGCTGATTATGGCTATAATGGAGAGTCCCTATTTAAAGCCAGAATGGAGAGCTGAGAGAATAGTTTAGGAAGCAAGACTTAGGAATTAGGAAAAATAAAACAATGTGAGGGAATGATAAGGTTTTGAACAGGCAAATCAACTTAATTGATATACCTGGGCATGCTCCAGGAACTCGTTATATCCTCCCAAAAGCAAGCCCTTTCCTCCACGATCCAACAGCTCTCTCCAGATGATGGGGGAATTGCTGTGGCTCCAGTTATTCTTTTCACACAAATCTTTCAGCCACTCCTGTTGAATGACATTCCAAGTGAAGTCACACAGTAAATCTGCCTCAGAATTCAGTATTTTAGAATTCAAACACTAAAACGCTAGCTTGGTTTTTACTATTACTGTATATACATAAAATTTGGAATATCTTAAATTGTAAAAATGTAAATATAGAAAATGGTGATGAGTTAAGTGACAAATTAGTCAAATAAGAAAAACTATTCTTCAAATTCACTGACCAAATGAAGGTACATAAAATTGCTCCGTTTGCTGGGAAGACCTGGAGACTTTATGTTAAAGAGGAGCCAAGTGTTCCAACTAAGCTGATTTAAAAAAAAAAAAAATTCAACTGATTTTTCCCTTGTTCTTCTATATATTTCCAGTCTTAGGGCCATACAAATTTGATACTGCTTTCCAAGTCTTTAAGTATAGTTTATATTGTTCAGATTAAATTAAGGAGCTAAAAGTTACCTGGGGATTTCTGATAATATTTATTTAAAAAAGCTTAAATCCTTATCCAGTTTGTGCAGATCATGTCTTTCCATGGCAAGAGCTGAGTAGACACAGACAGCAACATTCTACTGGGTGACAGGCACCATAGCATTCTTGTCTTCAGAGGTGTGTGTGATGAGGCTATCTCACCACTAAAATCTTAGAAACAAATTTCCCTTCCAATGTTGAAATCTCTCTGCCTTTATCCCACCTTAAAGCCAACAGTGCTGCTGTGAAGAATCCACCATCGCCCCCCCGCCATTTGCAACACAGCTTGACCCCAAAGGACCTTCAGCGTCAAGGACATGTTGATATCCTCTCAAGAGCTGACAGAGTACGACCAGGCCTGGCCCCTGGGGTGTTGAATCAAGAGTGGGACAGAGAGTTGGACAAGGGAGACTGTATCAATATGAATCACTCCTCTGCAATTCAAGAGTGTACACCCTGGCAAAGACTTCAGAAGAGAGGGATAACAGGTCATTAGGGTCGCTCTCCTAAGCTCAGAGAAGGTGGTGGCCCGTATGACATGAAATAGAAACACCAGAAGTGCCTTGGAAGACAATAGAAGAAGGGATCAAAAAGCTTAGAAAAATGGACATACAAGAGTTGATAAGCTGCTTTAGAATGCTGGAAACATAGTAGTCAACTATGTATTCTCGAGGGGCCTTGGATTACTATATTCACCGAAGTGACAAGGAATGTATGGTCAAAGGGGTCTCAGTATTGCTGAGAAGCCCTGTGCGGCTGTTCATTCTGGGCCAGCTCTGTTCAAGGACATGCTGTTACAGACCGGGACTGCAGACCACTGGGATGATAGAATCTTGACATAAGAGGCCAGAGGGTAGTGCCCACCAGTGAATATCTATTGTGGAAGAGACACTAAACAACCCAGCAGGAAGACAACTTAGGCAGCTGAAGGCATAGTGGGCTCATGAGGAGAGAGAGGTTATGCAATGACCTTAGAGATCAAGCTGCCACTCACCAAAACTGAGGTAACTCTTGCTGATACTAAATGTCCAATGTGTGGCAACAGAGACCAATGTTGATTCCCTCATAATGGCATTATCCCTCAAAGGCATGAGGCAGCCCCTTGGTGGCAAGTCGATTATACTTGGACCCCTTCCCTGCTGGACATGACAGTGATTCATCTTGATTCGAATCAACACATATTCTGGGTAAAGAATTATCTTTCCTGCTTGTAGGGCTTTTCCCAGCACTCTGTTCAAAAGCTCACACAATATTTAACCTGCCAACATGGGGTCCTGCACAACATCGCTTTGAACTAAGGGACCCACCTTAGTGTAAAATATGAGTGGCGCTGGGCACAAAACCAAGGGGCCCACTGGCCCTATTATGTGTCACACCACCTAGCAGCCTGACGGAGGGATGGAACAGCCCAGTGAAGGGACAGACACCAGCCTGGAGATGGATGCCTTGAAAGGATGGGATGCCATCTTTCAGGATGCAATCAATACCGTGAATCAATATAGTGTTTTGCCCCAACAGGTAGAAGGCATGAATCTAGGAATCAAAGGGTGAAATTAAGAGTGGCCCTGCTTACCATCGCTTCCAGTCATCCATGTGGGGGATTCACGCTTACCAAGCCCCACCTGCCCGAGACCCCGTGGGTCTGCAGGTTCTAAATCCTGGGTGGGGGATACTTCTACCAGGAAGACTCCCATTAAACGTTAAGCTGTGGCTGCCACTTGGCCAGTGTGAGCTCCTGTGCCAAAGAGACCAGCAGGCAAAGAAGGGAGTTGCCACCCCAGAAGGGACAACTGGCCCTGATGATCAGGAGCATGTAGGGCAGCTAGTACTCAGTGCGTGCAGGAAAGAAGACTTGTTACCTAAATGATTTAGAGGGGCATCATTGGCACTATCTTGCTCAATTCTGACAGCAAATGGACAAGAGCAGCAGTCTCATCCTGAAGAGGGAATGGAGAGTAGGGCTCAGGGCCCTTAAGGATACAGGTGCAGGCCATCGCAGCCAACAAGGCGCCTAGACCATCAGAGGGGAGGGGAGTCTGCAGTGGAGAGCAGTGATGAGTGCTGGGTACAGCCCGGAAGATGTGCAGTGGAGACTATAGTTCATTTGACTAACCTCCTTACAAAGTTTCCCTAGGGAGAGTGGCCAGCCAGAATCCTCAAAGAGCCGCTCACAGATGGCGTGAGCTTATCACACAGAGCACGTGGTTCCCAAAGGCCTGACTGGTGAACTGCCAAAGATCCTGCTATTGCAGCTCAGATTTTTCCTTCGTGATCAAGACACACAAGGCCTCAGTGGCGTCTCCCTCCAGGAACTGATCTTAGCCAAAGGAAGTGCCCTTGTCCTAGGTGAAATCCTTTCCCTGGGCCACCAGCATCCAGCGACATAGCTGGGGGACTACAAAAGCCCAGGCCCCTCGCCGGTTGGGGGATACCTCTGAAGGGCCAGCCCAGCTTCACAGTTCCCTGTATGGTGGGCTGAGCCCTCCGTTGCCGCTGGGTGGCCATTCAGCCTCTCCCACTGCCTGCAGCTGCTGCCCTTATTCCTTCCCAGGATGTTGTTCCTAAGAGCATGCCCCACCCCTCCCCAGTAAAGGAAGTTCCTTCACCTAAACCTCCGTCTCAGTTTTTTTCTGGGGAAACTAAGTCCCGCAGAAGGGTATTTCAGATAAACAAGCACCTCATCCCATTAGAAACCAATATGAATATGAATAAAATGTTTAAAAGTGCAATATAAGTTGCCTGGATTCTTGGGGGGAAACAACAGCGAAATTTATTCTACTTATTGTTTAGGGCCTCATTTGTTGTTCTAGGTATTAGGGGAAAAATAATGTTTTAAGACTGATAAGTGAAGATTAATTTTATTAGTAGTAAAGTATCAGTAGTATGTGAATATTAGTTACTGGAAGCCTAACTGATATAGTAGCTAATATTAATTAAATTGGAACACGTTTGTGTGTGTGTGTGTGTGTGTGTGTGTGTGTGTGAGAGAGAGAGAGAGAGAGAGAGAGTTTAAAAAATCGTAAAGGCTTCTTACCTCCCAAACATGAGGATGTTGTGTAATTTTATATATCTGAAAATCAGGAAGGTTCTTTTGTAAATAGTCTGCCAGAAGTTCTGCTTTAGCATAATATGGGCAATCTGCTTTACCTAGAAGAGTTCAAATTAGCAATGCTTTCTTTTATCATACAGAAATAATCATGCAATTATAAATATATGCTATGTAATTAGAGAATTAATCATATAGTTATATTTTATAATATAGAGTTATAGTATAAGTTGCCACCACATAAACTTTCGATTTTCATTATATTGGCAAAAAAGGAGGTCAGAATCTTAGGTAGTAAGATGTGGAAAGGAAAAAAGACCATTGAATATTCACTGTCCTCCAGTACTATGTTAGAATTCTCTTCCCCTTAGAGGCTTCCATGAATAGGCAAAGTGAGAAGTGAGAAGTGGTAGAATCACATGTGGATTTGATGTATGTGGCAGGCAGTACTGGGGGAAGGAGAAGCTGAAGGAGATAAGAGAGTCTGGAATAACTTCTATTTTCTGGCTTGTGTAGATGACCTGGAGCTCCAAAGAGAGAAATCACAGGTGAGTTCAATTATAGACAAGTACAGTGGTGGTAGCCATCAACACACAGGAAATTAAAGCTGCCAATGTGCGTGGTTTGACAGGCAGGAGCCAAGTGCAGAAGTCTCTCTCTATAGCATTCTTCCCCAGTTACCAGTTCTTCAACCTCATGGAGACTTCTAAGTCACCAACCCCTCTCAACTTCTCCCTGTCTAGTAGCCTCCCTGTCTAATTCAAATCCATAGTTTATGAATGCAAACCACCCTCTGGCTTATCTCTTAAATTATCTTGCCCCACTGTGCTCTGACAAATCAGTCTGATGAAGGTCCTTCCCCTGCCTTTTCTGTGCTGAGGTCTCTCAGGCACCCCTGGAGGAATGTGGCAGAACCAAACAGAGAGGCGCCATTAAATGCATGGTCGCCAGCCTCAACTGGCCCTCAACTGACTAGAGGTCCGTTTCCTTGGCAACATTCTCTTCTTTTCTCCACAACTGCTTTTCCAGACTTTGTCCATTTCCTTCAAAACCCTTCCTTCTTCCCAACATTTTTCCAGACCACCAAAAGACAAGAGAAGACATTGCTCTCTACTTTACAAAATTAAAGGCAGTTCATAGAAAAAGGCATCAGTTGGGGAATCCCCCAACCTCTTGCCATTAAGTGTACAAGCCTGTCTGCATTTGAACTCATCCTTTCCTTCTTTCTCCTATTCAGTGGAAGAGGGACCTTACCTCCTGTCCAGGTCCATTCTTACCACTTATGCCCTGGCCACTACCCTCTTCTGCCTTCAGAATTTCCACTGATTCTACTCAGTTGGTTATACCTTCTTTCTTGCATCTCATCTCTGTTTCCAATGATCATTTTCCTCTGCATTTAAATATCCTCATTATAGTTAAGTTTCTTTTCTACTAAAAAACAAAAAGCCCATGCACCCTGTAGTTACTGTCCTCCACCTGACCTTTTCTATTAAAACTTTTTTTTTTATTAAAAAATTGGAAGAGTTCTGTACACTTGCCATCCTCAGTACTTCACTTCCATTATTTGTCATCCTGAGCAATCTGACTTTCCCCATAATTCTCTGGCAGGTCACCAAGGACCTCCATGTCACTAAATCTAAAGGATACTTTTCTTTTTTTATCCTCACCCAAGGACCCCCCCCCCTTTTTTTTGAGAGAGAGAGAGAGAGAGAAACTTCAACTGATTGCCTTCTGGTATGTGCCCAGAAGACAAGGAATCAAACCTGCAACCAGGGTACGTTCCCTGACTGGGGATCAAACCCATGACATTTTAGTCTACAGGATGATGCTCTAACTGAGCCACAGTGGCCAGGGCTCCAAAGGATACTTTTTGGTCCTTTTCTTGTTGACCCTTGGCAGCATTTGGCCCCCTCCTACACTTCTGAAGCACCCATTATGCTTGGGCATTTTCCAGGATTTCTTTCTATTTCTCTGGCCACTACTCACTATACTTTGTAGGTTCTTATTCCTTTATCAATCCATCAGAAGGTAAGCATTCTGCAAGGTTTCTTATTTTATCTTCACACCCTATACATTCTTCCTGGCCAATCTCCTCCACTTCCCTGGTTTCAAGCAGCAATCTGTATTTCCAGCTTAGACCTATCTCTTTATCCAATCTATACCTTCCTGTATTTTTTTTCATCTCCTTCTGAATGTCCCATAGACACTCAGCATGTCTGTGATGAATTTTGCCACCACTTCCCCACTAAATCTGCTCCTTCTGTTATGTTCTTTATGTCCATTTACCCAGTTATCCAAGAGTATTAAGAGTATCCAGAGTATTAAGCCTGCTCTTCTCCTTTTTTCAATAAGTCCTCATCTACCCAGTTATTCAAACCACTGCTTGGGAATAATTTTAACTCTTTCTTTTCCCTTACCTGCTTTCCTCCACCCACTTAGACAACTAGTTCTATAGATTCTGCCTTCCTACCATCTCTTCAATCCACCCACTTCTTCCCATTTCTATTGCCGACCAGCCTAGGTTAGGCCACCATTATCTCCTTAGTGGGCGATAGCACCTAACTGGGCTCTGGGCATCTGGTCTTTCTCTTCCCACACTGCAGAGGTAACACTCAGATAAAACGCAAATTTGATTATGTCTCCCATTCCAAAAATCTGCATGTACTTTGGATAAAGTTTAAAGTAATGACTATGGCTCACAAGAATCTGCATTACCCTGTCTCTGACCTCAGACTATGATACTCTTTCCCTTGTACTCTTTGCTCCAATCTTACTAAATCTATTTCCATTTTCTACTGCTTGTATACTCCATCATCAGCAAGCCAGCTTTCCTCATCCCAACCCCACTTCCTACTACCCATACTTAATTACTCTCTTTCTTCTTACCTCCTCTCTGCTAAGTAACTCTTTCTCATCTTGCAGGTCTTTGCTTAAAAATCACCCCTTCCAGGAAGCCCCCTGACTAAATGAGGTCCTCTGCCACTGCTCCTATAGAACCCTGCCCTGATGCTGCCACACATGCAGCATTCTGTGTGTTTACCGCTGTCTTCCCAGCATACAGTCGGTGCTCAAAAATATTCTTCTGAATGAATAAAGAAGCAAAGAAAATAGATTTCTAGGGAGGTGCCAACTGTGTTAATTCATCAAAGAGGTCGAATAAGACAGGGATTGGGCAGCTTCTCTAAACTCATTGGTAACTTTCATGAGGACTATTTTGGAAAGGAGTTCGACATAGAAGCAGATTGAGTGGAAGGAGGACCTAGAGATAGAAGAGCAGTCTCCTCTCTTAAGAAACTTGCTGAGGAGGTAAGGAGGCAGGTACAATAGAAGCTGTAGTAAAAGCCTCTTCAGTGCTTTCTTGGATGCCAGTCGTCATTTCCAATCCTTCCCCTCCACTGGTGACACGGTGGGCTTCCTAAAATGCAAGCCCACCAAAGATATTCTTCTTTTTAAAAGTTTTCAGTGGATCCTTATTGCTTTCATAATACAGTTCAAACACCTTTGCTTGGTGCACATGAGGCTCCTGCTCCAGCTTCCGTTCTAGCCCCAGGTCCAGTCACTTCCTCCATATCTAGATGGTCTATTAAACCACGAGATTTGCAGCCTCTGTGCCTTTATCTGGAATGGCCTCCCTATTGCAAACTGACAAATCAACCCCTGTGACACCCCTCCCCCGAGCCCTGTGTAACCTCTCCCTCATTGCATTAATCACACTGTATTAAAATTACTTGTTCACATGTTTCTGTACTCCATTAGACTGAAAGTTCCTCGAGGCAGGGACGTGTCTTTCTCCCGCAACTGCATCCCCAGTGTCAGGCAGTGCTTTGCACAGAGTCACCGCCCAATAAACATCTTTAAATGCATGCATGAGAAAGCCTGAAGTGGTCCATATAGAGGCTGAAGTTGCTAGAACAGAAGCCAGTTAGGAAGATCACAGCCAAGTGGCCATAGGAGGCGAGCAGTTTGCGGTGTTTTGAGCGATCTGAGGGCTCACGCAGGGATCACTCACCCGCAAGCACGAATTTGGCCATGGTGGAGCTGTGTAATCCCAGTGCAGGCACCGCGTCTTGGCGGTCTCCTGGCAACCACGCCGCCTCGCACTAGGCGCAGGCGCACCCCATAGCTGAGCGCGGGGTCTGGTGCCCTGCAGGAAAAGTGAGAAATTGGGGTACACGACCATACATCGCTTTTAAAATCTCTGAGGTCTCCCCTCGGTCCTAACCCGGAAGATAAGAAAACTAGACATTCTCTTCGGTAGGCTTTCGTATCACTGAGTCCTCAAATCGCTGCGAACGAACATTTTTGGACCTATGAAGGATCCTTCAAATCTCGCGATACGAGCAGCTCGCGGGGACGCTGTCTTGACTGTGCCTGAATGTAACCGCGGGGTCCTGATCAAAGGTGAGTGCAGGACGTTCCTAGGCGGAACAGTTGGCGGTCCTACACTTTTAACTACTTTTCGGAGGAAGTTTCAGGAATTAACCGGGCATTAAGTTTAGGGAGGTGGTTTAGTACTGGATGGCCTGGTTCCGAAAGGACGGACTCCGGGGCACTTTCTGAAACCTGGTGAGACTGGCTGGTTGTGTTTCACTCCCAAACGCAGGCTACACGCAAACATCAGTTTGGTTTGCTGCTTCCTCCTGAGTCAGTCTGCTTTGTTCAACTCCCTTTTCTTAATAGTCTGGCTTCGGTCGTTGCTAAATCCTCGTGTTAAAAGGTATCCATCAACGTTAAACCCTTCAGTTTCTTGAAGACATCTCCAAGGCAGTGGTAACATAAAATCCGACCCTGCAGAGGAAGCTTTGCAGGGACACTTTTCCACCAGAAATCCACTTCTCCCCCTCCTCCTCCACTTTTTAAAAAATTTAAGTTCATTTATACAACGACTACTTCCAAAGTCACCTGGTCCCTTTGAGAATGTACACATTGTGATAGAAGGGGAGGAAGTACATATTAGTAAGAAAGTTTTACCATTTTAGTGTAAATCTTTCATGTCAACATAGGTCCCCAGTTAGTCTGTGTTGAATGCATTTCATTTGTTTAGGTAAAAGTTTTGCTTCATTTTTTATTCCTTTCATAACCCCTTCTCTTACAGGGGGAAAAGAACAGACAAGTGCATGTGTTCCCGTTCACTGATAGAAGCAACGTTTGTATCATATCGACAACCTTAAAGCCATTGGGACGTGTTTCAGTGGATAGCAAAATGAATAACCGAGCAGGATCCTTTTTATGGAATCTCAGGCAATTCAGCACTGTAGTTCCAACAAACAGAACTGTGAGGCTGTATCCTTTGGGATTTTGCAGACCAAAAGTTGTTTATTCAAATTGGAGCCCAGGAAACCTTCTCTTAAATAACTTTGACAGAAAGAAATCATCCGTTAGCTATCTCTTTCATGATGCCTTGTTTTTTAAATCAGGAGATGGTGCCTTTCAAACAAAGGTTGTAGGCACTGTAACAACCTTTGGAGTCAGCAGACTGCTTTGTCCTAGAAGACTGTGCTTTGACTCAAAACAGTCTTCTGTCTGTGATAATGGGCTGAAGAAAATAAACTTTCATCATGAGGCCTCCAATGAAGATGTGCTCACGAAGGAAACAAAAGCAACCCCAATCACCTGGAGAAAACTGTCTCAGGAGTGTAATTCCCTGAGGGATGTGTTAGATACATTTTCAGAAGCACCTACATTTCCTAGTAGTACCTATTTCTCAGCAATGTGGACAATTGCCAAAAGGATGTCTGACGACCAGAAACGCTTTGAGAAACAACTGATGTTTAACCACCCTGCATTTACCCGGCTGTGTGAACAAATGATGAGAGAAGCCAAGATCATGTACTATGACCACTTGCTGTTCAGTCTTCATGCTGTGGTGAAGCTTGGTATTCCTCAGAACACTCTGTTGGTGCAGACTTTGCTGAGGGTGGTTCAGGTAAATTCAAAAGGAAACTTAAATATCCTTTTACTGGGTTTGCATATCTTGAAAGAATGAAGGGAAATAGCAATGTAGTCTTGGCATGTCTTGAAATAATGCGGGGAAATAGAGACAGTGGAATGGTGGTCTCCTTTATATTTATTTCTATATGTATGATTTAGAGTCCATAAATTAGCTAGGTCTTTCTTTCCTTTTGCTATGGAGATTTATGAAAGCTTGTCTCGTTTTTCTTCTCCAGAGTCGAGTGATAGTAATAAGTTAAAATGAGGAGAGATGTAAAATATACAAGGAAAGTTGTTTAGTTGAAGGAAGGAGGAAAAGGAAGGGAACTAATATATTTTGAGTACCTACACCTTTTACTTATATAATTATATTTAACCTTTTCAACAGCTATGCAAAGTTGATGTTACCTAAGTTTTACAGCTGGGGAAACCGACTTAGTGATGTTAAACAAGTTTGCTAAAGTCATACAACTAGCAGATTCATTCATGCCGTAAACATTTATTGGGTGTCCACTGTGTATCAGTTACTATACTTGCCTCTAAGGGTATAAAGATACAGAAGACATGATTCTTGCCCTTATAATCTAGAGGGAATATGGGTATTTAGTAGGCAATTACAAAAATAACCAGCAATCATTTGAGTCATTTATTAACTATGTTATAGGCATTGTACTGAGCACGAGGGATTAAGACTGTGAACAAAATAATGGTCGCAAAGCCCATTCACTGCAATGAAACAAAAATACAGAGTCTTATGAGAGTGTGTAATGGGCTTCCAGTCTAGAGAGGAGGAGGCCTTCATGATGGCAAGAGGAGAGGGGGGTAAGGATACAGGATTAGTGTTTGAGACAGAGAGATGTTTGAAACACAATTGCCTCATGTAATCCTCAGTGTAGCCTTTTAAAACAGGTACTGTTACTCTCATCGTACCAGAGAATAGGAAATAGAGGCTTAGAGAGGTTAAAAAACTTGCCCAAGGTCACATATCTGTTAATGTCACTATTTGTAGGTACTTGATAAATATATCTGGAATGAATGACACCTAGTCCATTGTGGAACTAGGATTCAAGTCTAGTAGGAGATGATATCTGAGCTGAATCCAAGGAATGAAGGAATGCACCACAGTTTGTGAGAGGCTAATAGTGAATGGGATGGTTTTTCAAACAGGAGATTGCATGCTCATCCCAGAGCAAAAGCTTGGCAAGCTTGGGGAGCTGGAAGTAGTTCAGTATGGCTGAAATACAGAACGTTGGGGTGGTGTGTTGGAGTGAGTGGGGAGGAAATTGGGAATGTGGTGGTTGTGGAGGAGGAGTTGGGGGTAGTGACAAGATACGAGGCTGGAAAAGGGGGGAATCAAAGACCCTTTTATGCCTGGCTAAGGAGTTTGTATTTATCCTATAGGCAATGAGAATCCATTGAAGTATTTTAAGCAAAGGATTGGGATGCTCATATTTGTATTTTACATCACTCTGTGAGTGGAGAATGGATTGGAAGGAGGGTAAAATGGATGGGGGAGCCACTTTTTGTTTTAAACAAGGGAGTCAGGGTCCTGGTGGATGTCACTGAATCTACACCAGATGTGATGAGGGAAGGATAGCTTATTAAAGTGATCATTTGCCTTTTGAGCGTGAACATCTCAGACTTCTAAATTTAATGAGCATAACTAAATAATTTATTTTTAAGCACTTACTGTTGTATTCATGATGACCTGGAGTCCTAAGAAGAGATAAAAATAATGTTTGATAAAAGTTATTTCAGAAGCAGAGGAATCTAATCAATATCAAATGGATTTTCAGTGATAATGGTGAATGTAAAGAAACTTCGGTACGTAAAAGAGTATTGTATTAACTATTTGGAAAATTCACTATTTCTGACACTTTATTTCCCAAAGATGCTGTTTATTAAGGACTCACTCTGTATGAATTATTGGTTTCATATTTAGTCCCTTAATTGAAAGCATCAGTTGAGTGGTTTTGCATGGGTACAATAGTCTACTATGGGCTCATCATCTGTAGTGTTTTTGTCATTATATTTCAATAGGAACGTATCAATGAGTGTGATGAGAAATGTCTTTCAGTTTTGTCAACTGTTGTAGAGGCCATGGAGCCATGCAAGAATGTGGATGTTCTCCGAGCAGGACTGAGGTGAGAGCTCTGTCATGCTTTCTTTGTGTGGCAATCTCTGTTTCTCTAATATCTCAAATCAAAACCCAGCGGAAAGCTGAACTGTTTTTTTAAAGCTGAACTGTTTTTTCTTTTTTGGGTTTTTTTTGGTTTGGGGGAAACTTTGATGGTAGTTATATTCTTTAAAACCTTATTAAACTTAAAAACCTGACTCTGGATCAGGTAAAACTGGGAATAATGCTGCTTTTAGGATCCACCATAAGAAAGAAAGGTGTGGGTAACATTGAAATCTAAGTTGAAGATATAGTACTGATGGGAGCTGGGAGAGCGTTGACAGGTACTCAACTTACGATGGTTATTTGGGCACTATGTGGAGGTCACAGGACGCTGGCCTGGCTTGACAAGGAACTTGCGTTTTATAATTTATAAAATTGACACAATGATATACTGTCATAGGCCAGTGAGAATAATACTTAATTCCCTTTTTCATTGACTATGCATTGGGCTATCCTACTCTAATCTCAAGTGATTTGTTCATGTATAAAGACAGCGAAAGGGGAAATAATGCTAGCGGATCTTTCGCTAACTCCTTACCCTGTCTTTGGCAGTAGATATGTCTATGGGCTTCGTATTTCTTGCCTAGAAGTAGGAGCTGGACCAGATGGCATTTAAGATTTCTCTTCTGGTTTTACGGTTCTAGGTCTGTGATAGTTATTGTGTTTAATTACAGGATACTAGTTGATCAACAAATTTGGAAAATAGAACGTGTCTTCACATTACAAGCTGTGATGAGAAGTATTGGAAAAGATGCACCAATTTCTCTTAAAAAGAAACTGGAGGTAAAGACCTGAATTTTCTCTAGTGGATGAGATTTGAAAAAAATATTTCTTGTGATATACTTTTACTTTCTGTCGTCAATTGCTTTTAACACGTTGTGCTTTAAACACATTCCTTTTGTGTTTAACTTTGTTAAAGTGAAATAATAGAAGTAGATTTATATTTATCTGTGTATATAAATATATATTTAATCTATATGTCTATTTGAGTCATTTTACTCAAACTTTATCCTTTTTATTTAAATATAGAAGCTTAAGTTATTTTACAACAAATGATCAATTAAGTTTAATCTTGTTTTTCTTCAGATGAAAGCTTTGAGGGAACTAGACAAATTTTCTATTTTGAATAGCCAACACATGTTTGAGGTACTAGCTGCCATGGATCACCGCTCCATTATACTGTTGAATGAATGCAGCAAGATGGTCATTGGTAAAGGAAATTTCTCTTTTGTGATTTTTAGCATTTACCTACTGCCCTGGACTATATTAGTTTTTTTTGTTTTAAGAACTTTGCTTTTACATGTGAAAAGTATCGGATGATATGGTTAGATCTAAATTTTATTTTTGCCTGTAGTTCTTTTCCTTTTTCTTTCTTTCTTTTTTCTTTTCACAATACTGTGCTATTTCTAAAAAAGTATTGAGTGTTGAGTATCTTGGATCTTCCATTACAAACTATCTGGTAATTTTTGTTTGTTTGTTTAACTCATTCTTAAAGGTAATATCCATGGGTGTCCTATTAAAATATTGATCAACATAGTACAGTCTTGCAGAGACCTCCGATACAGTAATTTAGATCTTTTCAAGGGGATAGCAGATTATGTGGCTACAACTTTTGACATGTGCAAGTTGAAACATGTAAGTATGCTAATAGGTTAGAATAAGCCTCAGAAACATATTCAAGAAGCATATTAATTTATTTAGCACTCTAGGTATTTCTCCATCAGCTTTATAGCAGTTAAGATACCAAAATATTCCAATGCTAAGTTGACTTTTGAAAAATTAACTCCTTATCATTTTTGTCTGGGAGTTACCTCTTATTGTACCACTCAATCTTTTGATTTTTTCTATCTGAAATAAAAAAATATATTGCTCAGTGTTTGCTCTTCTATTTCATTATTTTAAAAGTTGTCTGGTACTTTAGATATTAGAATTAGTTCTGTCTTTCTCCCTTTTTTTTGTTAGATTTAAAGTAATCTGGGTGATGTGACAGGCTTATGCTTTTTGAAGAATAAAATGTCATTACTTAATGATCATGTCTATTTTTTTATTTATGGAATGTTTGCTTATTTTCTCTAGAGTAAGGACCTTTAAAACCAGGTACTGTGTTAGTAATATAAACATGAATAAAGCAGCCAGTAAAACTTCTTTCTGCAATTAATGAAGAAAGATTAATTGTAAATGTTAGGTCAGTAGGTTCAGTTTACTTTGGAGGGAAAGAAAAATATTGAATTTGCCATAGACATTGATTTTGGAAAGAGGAGTAGTAATCATGAGAAGGACAAAGAGGGAAATGAGAAATGAATTGGAAATTTTAATTTAATCGTAATTTTTCATTTCTGTTCTCATTTATAGAAATTCATATTGGATATAGAAAATTTTCAGTTACCACTGAGATATTAGAATCTAGGAAGTATCTAGGTTTGGAGGAAGGAGCAGTTCAAAACTGAGTTGGTCACTTTGAAAAACTTCAGAAAAGGTGTATTTAAAGTATTCTTCAGGTCTGTTGTATGAAAAACTTGTAGGATAGGATCTATTTTTAATGAAATGGAAACATTGTATACTCTGGTTTTATGCTTATTAAAAGGTTGCTTAATAACAATATCTGACTCAAAAATTACTGGAACAGATTTTGGGAGAAAAAGATAACTGTGCCTCTTTAGGGAATGTTCTCTTAATCAGGACAGTTCTATGGCTCTTTAAATTTTTTGAGATCTAACTGAATTACTCCTAGAATACTGTAATTATTAAAAACTTCTTCCTCAATTCACTCTTTTTTTGAAGGTTCTTTTTCTCCTTACTTTATTTGAAAACCTTGCCTTTCGACATGCTGGTTTGATGGACTTATTTATGAAGAAGGTAATAAATGAACCTGACTGCCTAAACATGAAACACCTGGTGTCTGTCCTTCATGTGTATTCTTCTCTGAATCACCTGCACAGGTCCCAGACCCAAGAGTATGTACTATTCTTTTTTTTTACCTTTTTATTGCCACATAATGTATTTATAGAAAAGATTACAAATCATCACGAGGTCAATGAATTATTACAGGTAAATACATCCAGGGCCATCGTCCATGGCAAGAAATAAAACATAGTATTATGTATTTATGAAGTTACACAGAGTTTTATTTTACTTTTGCTGTTCTTTGTCTTGCTTATTCCTTTGTTCTTTCTGATATATTTATGATATAATGAAATAGGAGGCTCATTTCAAACTTTCCCAGTTTATTCCCTCAGCTTCTAAGTTCATATTTCAGTTTTGAACCTACCTATTCATTTGGTTCCAAACCATTGCTTTCTATTTTCATTTTTACCCACAACCATGCATTTCTTCTACTAAATGCAGCAGTTCCTCAAACATACCACCCAGTACATGTTTCCTTCCTTTCTACCTAGTTAGGGATCGTTAAAAAACAAGAAATGCGTATGAAATGTCATTTGTTAGAAGAGTTAAAAGCACAGACTCTGGCAACATTTTGCTTAGATTTGAACTGATCTCTGCCATTCATGAGCTGCTTTTGGCAAGTTACTTATCTCTGTCTCAGTTTCTTCATCTCTTCAATGGGGGATAAGAAATAAAAGTTATTTGTGTCGCATTGGGTTGTTGTGAGGATTAAATGAATTAACCTATGTCAGATTCTTAGAACAATTCCTGGCACACAGTAATTGTTAGATTAAAAAATAGAGAGAGTATCGGTCACAGAGGCCTTGGAGGAGCAAACAGTGGCAGTTCTGAGGGTCTCCATGGCAGGAGGTACTCAATGGCCATCTCCTTGCCCTTGCGTGACTTGACTTCAACTGTTTTCTGTCCCGGTAGTTTTCCCTCGAGATTCAGGTTTTCCCAAAGAGAAATCTGACCAAGTTGGGGTCACATGCCCGTCCCTTTGCGACAGGTACTCTCCATGATACTGAGAGACTCAGTTCGTACTGTGCTTCTTGTGCCCCTAGCTGTCTCCATCACGACCCCCGGGCTTGTCACATCTCACTCAAGCCTCCAGTGAAGCCTTGACCTCTCGCTGTAACTCTTTGTCGACAAGTCTGTCTCTGCCCCTCACGTGGGAAAGCTCTGTAGAGTCAGACCCAGGTTGCTGTTATTCTAAACTTAGTGTGGAGTCCGGCACAGGATAGGCATGTCTGGTGATAAAGATTGAAACGTGGTCCGCAAATTCAGCCTTCTTCTCCTCCCCCGGCTTGGTTTTCTTATTGAGGCTGCCTTCCATGTACCTCTGATACTTTATTAACTAGTACTGTCAACTTGAGTGGTAATTAAAACTTCATTTTTATTTTAAAATTGAATTTATTCGGGTGACATTGCTTAACAAAACCATACAGGTTTTAAGGGTACAACTCAGTAAGTTCACATGATTTGCACACTGTGTCATGCGCTCATCGCCCCAAGCAAAGTCTGTTTCCGTCCCCATTTCCCTCCCATCTTTGCTCACCTCCACCCACTCCCCACCCCTTTCCCTGTGGCTGTCATACTGTGTTGTCTGTGTCTTTGTGAGATATATATATACACATATATATATATATAATATACCATATGTATATGTGTGTGTTCCCTTAATCCCTTCATACTCTTTTATCCAGTCCCCTAGCGCCCCCTCCCCTCCCACAAAAACTTTAGAAATAGACCCACAGATTCCATGGGATTAGGAGAACTAACACTAGGTCACGTGGTTAGGGAGTTTTTCAGCTGACTGTAGACATCTCAAGAAATAACCTTGTCCAATAAAATTGTTATATTGGAAATAAAGGGAGAAATAATAATGGTAACTCTCAATTGTCACATAAAGATTGAGAGATGTGATGAAACACATGAGGAGCAGGATCATACAGAGGGGGAGTCAGGAGCATCGTACTGTTGTCTGTCTTCTCTGCTTTCATTTAACCTGCTGGTTCTCAGTGGGGGACGATTTTGCCTCCCAGGGGGCATTTGTTGCTCTCCGGGGACTTGAGTTTTCATGCTGGGGAAGGGGTGCAGGGAAGAGAGTTCTGCTGTCCTTTAGTGGGTAGAGGCACGGGGATGCTACTGACGTGCTGCTGCAGACAGGGTTGCCCTGCACAGAGGGTGGCCCAGCCCAAACATCAGTGGTGCTGCGATTGGGAAGTCTCCCTCTCCCACCTCAGCACGCCTCCTTTGGAGAAACGGGGGCGATGACAGTGTGGCTGACAGGTCAAGATTTATCCGTGGGAATTTTCCAAATGCCCATGAACGTGCAGTTGCTTGAACTTGGTATTCCGAAGACTACTAGAGAAAAAGTTTGTGTTCCTCCGCCCTAGTGCAGTTAAGGAAGCAAGTGTCGTACATCCAGAGGAAGGCCGTAAATGTTGGGGAGCACACCAGCGCTTTGTGGAGGAGGAAGGACGGTGGCATCTTAGGCTGGCATGGCAAAGGTTTTAGAAGCAGGATGATTGAGAGCATTTGGGGAGGGAGTTGGCTAGTTGAGATGTATTAGATAGGAAATTTGTAGAAAATTTGGTGTAACACTTTGTATATCTACATATTGTACATGAATCATTTAATTATGTGATAACCTCTGGGAAAGAAGGTATGTTAAATCCAAAGTATCTTCTGGGACTTGAAACCTAAGGGAGAAAGCCTTTAACATTTAAACTCTTATTTCAGCCCTTTGGTTCCTTCTCGATCTGTGCATATCGCCAGATTTGCATCTCTGGTCGTTTGTATATTCCTGGACTCCACGACTCCTGTGGATTGCATATGGCCTCTAGATCCCTGGTCAACAATTCTGGAAGTCAGTTCCTACTTCTTTTATTTTTGTCAGTTATTTACTATTTACTAACGATCGTGCAAAGTGATTTTTTAAAACCACTTTATTGAGGTATAATTAACATGTAAAAAGCTGTACATATTTAATGTGTACAACTTGGTGAGTTTTTAGATCATTATTCTTGACTCATTCTCCTCTTGTCCTTATCTAAGTTTATTTGTTCATTTAGTTAGAAAATGTGTGCCACGCACTCAGGTGCACAGGACAAAGATGAGTAAGACATAACCTTCTAGCCCAAGGATTCTGTGTAATTGGTAAGGCAGACATGCAAATTGGAGTGATAGCGTCTTATACAGGACAGAGGGACATGGAGGAGGGTGTGCCCAGAACCTAGCAGGGCAAAGTGGAGGGTCGAGGTGGGTTCCAAGTAGTGCTCTTTGGAGGAGATGGTACCTGAGCAGATCCTAGAAGACGGCTACCTAGGAGGGAAGATGAGCAGAAAAGAACTTTCTTAGTAGAAGGACTCCATGTTCAAGTCAGGGAGGAAAGAAACAGCAGAGCACAGGCAGGGAACAACACATGGTTTGGTGTTGCGGAGCCATAAGGTGCAGGACGAGGGAGGCCTGGAGAGGAGGTCACCTGCAGGGGCTCCGGACTTCCTCACCTGCGGCCTTTCTCCCTGCAAGTTCAGTCATCACCAGGTCGTACGTGCCGCCTCGCGGGTGTCTCCAGAACCGTGACATCGCTCCCATCCTGCTGTAACTCCCGCAGTCCTACTTAGCCTGCCTTAGCCTCCCCCCTCCGCCCCCCCCCCATTCCCGTCCTCCCCCATCGGCTCCTACCCTCCAACTTTCCAGTTGATCGCAAACACCCTCCTTTACAGCCTCATTGTCAGTCAGGGCTCACTTCAGGGCACGCCTGGCCCTGCTGTCAGAGTAGCTTATCTGGGCTTCAGCCCCACTGGTTACTGACTATAGTGCAAACAATGGGCACTTTCCGCTTTCCATTCCTTTGCTTAGTTTCAAATGATTCTCTCTTTCCTCATCTTTTCCACTTACTGAAGTTCTTCTTACCCCAAAGCCATTGTTTACGTACTGTCCTGTGCACTGTCACGGTACTTTGCATGTGCTTCAGGTTTGTCTACATAACGACATACAGCTTATGCCCTAAGAGTCAGACAGGCCTGGTTTCAAAAGGTACTTGTGCCGTTTATTAGCAGTGGCACCCTGGGTAAGTGACCTTCCCTAATTTTGATCTTTCCTCTCTCTGTGCTTAACAGCTGTGTTATACGGGGTGATAGGGTTAGACTTATGATTTTTTAAAGCTCAGAATATCGACAGCTAGAGGATATGAATTGGTTATAAAACTGCAGTGGTGTTCCAGGCCTTATGGACATACTCATGATGAAAGTCGAGCATAATGGTTAAAAGGCTCTGGAGCCTGACAGCCTGGGTTCCAATGCTCTCTCTGCTACTTCCTGGCTGTGTTTTCTTGGAGAAGTTACTCAACCTCTCTGAGCCTGTATTCTCATCTTTATTATGAGGATAATAATAATATATTCCTTGTAGAGTTTTCATAGGAACTGAATGAGTTAAAACCTATAAAACATTTGCCCTGTGCAAGACAATGATAGCTAACTTTTACTGAGAGATGTATATTTATTATGAGATAGTCACCTGACCTGAAATATGTGTGAATACTTATTTCAAGCCTGATTTTTTAAAATCTTTTTTCTTTGGACTCCTTAAAGCCATTGGTGCTATGGCGCCTCACCAGCTCTACCATGACCTTGTCTTCTCTTTACATTTGAAAGCTGATTTTTTCTTTGTTGCCCTGAAGGTTCCTCAATGTCATGGCCAGTGCTCTGACTGGTTATCTCTACCATATCTCTTCGGAAAGCCTGTTGAGTGCTGTGTATTCATTTTGCTTGATGAACCACTTTCCCTCGGCTCTTATTAATCAGCTTCTCCAAAAGGACATCATCGACGAGCTGCTGATGTCAGGTAGGATGTCAGTGCATGACGGTGACTGAAACAAGCAGTACCACCAGCTGCCGTGTGATTCTGAACGGGGCTTGGTCGGTGCAGTGTCAAAACATACGAACAGATTCTGCTGAGGGAAGGAGCAGTGACGGGGAAGTCAGAGGACATGCAGAACGCAACAAGGAGAAACACATCGTCATCATTCCTTTCATTTACTCCTTACACCCAGAGCCGAGGTGCTTGTACCTCCCCATCCTTGTGTGCCACCTCTGAAGCCAAACAAATCAACTCTTGCAATTATAAGTACGTTGTTGATCATGGCCTGTAATGAAGGCACAGCCTGTTAGGTCAAGAAACCAACTAGTTACTAAAGTAGTGAATTATTTGCTCTAGGAACCAAATTGTTGATTTTAAACAAGGAAAAGCAGTATCAGGCTAGGAGTACAAAATTTGATGTGTCTGAGAATAGAGTAGTTTAAGTTCTTTTAGAAACAACAAATGAAATTACAAAGTTGGAGGAGAAGAAATACCATGTTTAGATTGTTCAAGTAATGTGTTGGTGGCGGGGACAGCCTGGAACCCAGGAGACCTGGATCCCAGTGTCAGCTTTGCCTTTAGTTGCTCATGAGCTGTCTTAACATTCCTGGGCATTTCTTCATTTCTTCAGTGAAGCATTTAGACTAAATCACCTTGAAAGATATTTTAGACCTTAAAACGTTATCAATTACGGAGTATTGATCTAGACACTATGGGAACTAGGGGGACACAGAGAGATCCCTCCTGATAAACAGATCATCAGAAATATAAGTGCATTGGTACAGTTTCTTAATTGTGGCATTAATATTTTTTCTGAAGTACTCATTTCCTCTCTTTTTCTCTTAGATAACAAGGAGAGGCATGTTCACAGGCTTCATGTTTTGGCTGCCTGTCTAAAACTCGATGATGTTCCTTACTACAAGGCCATGGACTTAGCCCTGCCATCGTGGCTGCCCACAACATTACATGCAAATGCAAAGGTTGCCGAGGTGCTGCGTAGCCTGCTGGGAGAGGGATACTTCTCTGAAAATGTACAGTTGCCACATAATTACCATATTGGTATGGAACTTGATATGATTTTCATCTATTTTATTTTGTTGGTTTTCCTTTCTTTCTGACAGGGACTGGGAGCTGTCCGGGGCGCTTCAGCGTTGCGCAGGCAGGCCCTGCAGCGGGGCCACTGGGCTTTGGGCTCTCACACTGCCCGTGCTGTGGCTTTAGCCACTTATGACCTCGCTTTCCTGATGTGTAAAATGGCACTAATAATAGAACCCACCCCCTAGGGTTCCCGTGACAAGTAAATATGATTGTACATATGAAGTCCAGAGCGGTGTCTGGCACTTGGTCAGTGCAATCATGTTAGCTGCTCCCATTGTCATTGGTAGTAGCAGGGATTTTTGAAACAGAAAATCACTTGGAGCAATGTTTGAAAAATTAATATCAATTGTTTTCTTTCAGATTTTGAAATCAGAATGGATTCTAACAGGAGTCAAGTGCTTCCACTTTCTGATGCAAATGTGGTAACTTCCACTACAGATGTGCAAAGGTTGCTTACATCTCTTCATTTGCTGAGCTTTCTTATTTTAAATCTTAATTCTGAAAGACTTCCTATGAAATAGCAGTCACAATGCTAAGACTTTATATTTCTGTGGAGCTTGTATTGCACCAAGAGACCTCTCAGCCACCGATCTGCTCCTTAGGTGTTAAGTGTGGGCATGGTGGCCGAAGACAGTGGTCTGGAGTTGGGCCATTTAATGAAATAGGCAATTTTTACAAATTAAGTTTTAAAGCTAAACAATCCAGAAAAAGTGTTCATGTAATTGAAACTATCAGTGCAGTGTAAATGTTTGACAAGATAATGCAACAGTGATTATGAAGAATTAGGGCATCTACAAAAATCAAGTACCCAATATTTTTCTCTACCACGAAGACTTTTGTAAAGGTAGAGAAACTTTAGCTTTTTCGTTAGGCTATATTGTATATGGGTCAGACTGTATCAAAGCAGATCCGAAGCTGTGTGCCTGCCCCACACACTACGAGTGGGGTGTGTCTAGGAGAAATGCAGTGCTGCCCCGGGAGAATTCTTCCAGATAGGCGCATCAGCTCGTGTTGCACACGTCTGGTGCTCAGCAGCCTTTGTGGAAGGGTTCCGCGGGGCCCTGTGGGGCACACAGACATGGGTCAGACGTGGACTCCAACTCCAGGCCACTAATGTCCTATATTGCTTTACAAGACATGCTCGTAAATACGGTAGAGAGAGGTACAGAAAAATCTGTAAGGATTCAAACTTCTAGCCGCCCATCCCTCTCTGTTCACATACAGCTCTAGCGTTTGCCTCTTTCCGCATCCATCACCTTGTTCCTTGGCTGTCTTTCTCACCCGTTGTCTTCTCTGTGCTTGTTGACTGTCTCCCCTCAAACAAAGGCTTTCTCTCTGCATCACTGAAAGATCATTTTTCTTTTTCAAGTTCTCCTCTGCTTTGGCATCATAATATAACATAGTAGCTTTCAGCCTAAGGTACTGAAGAAGGGAGCATTCCTTTAGAAATACAATTTTTTCCCTCTTATCTGTGATCTCAGATAGCAGCCAGAGTATAACAGGAGACAGTAGGGATACAAATGTCTTTTCTTTTTCCCAAAGGCCAAGAGCAATGAAAAAATCAAATTACATGTTCCACATTTTTGATACGCATACAGATTTTATCTCTTTAAGTTTTGTCTTTTAGTGTTCTCTTCTGTGTATTTGGTCTCCCTAGTCTGGTTTCTAAGTGGTCTCTCAGGGAGACAGTCTGTATAAGAAGGGCATTTACCATTTGGTATTACCTACATCAGCACTAACACTGGTGGCACAAACAACTACATTTAGGTCAGAGATTAGTAAAGTGTTAAAATGGACGCTTTCATATTTGACATTTTTCCTTATCGGGACTGTAGCCACCCTTAAAGATGATTGACGGGTAACCGTGTGAAGCATTTTTATAAGCTTTTGGTTGCTAAAGTAGCCTTCATATACTGGAATATTTATAGAAGCCAAGTAACAAGGAAGTGAAGGACTAAGACAGTAAGGAATGCTGAGGACTGCAGTCTATGGAGAGCTGAACTCCGAAATCTCCAAAGAACAGAGATACAGCAAGATTGTAAGTGGTCATCGCATTAGTAACTAGTCTCATATTGTGTATTTTTATTTTCAGATTAGCTATACTCAGTGTTCCTAGATCTACTTACTGTTTGGATTTAACCCACCCCAGAGGATTCCTTGCTATGAAAATGCGTCATTTGAAAACAATGGGTTTTCATGTGATCTTGGTAAGAAAAAAATGCAAATGACATATTCATTAGCTATTGAGGTCCATTCTGCCAGGAATGTTGTAGTTGAAGCTGCTTACTAGGATTGTAGAGGAATTGTCAGCAATATCGAAATAAGTGTTTTACTTATTGTTTCCTGATACATGATCTGGCTTCTACTTAAATGATTACTATCATTTATTAGAGATTTTATAAATGCACCATTCAGTCAACTTTGGTCCTTTTTGTTAAAGTTTTGTTTTAATGGGCCAGTGTGAGACTGCTCTAGAATGTGTATCACCAGAAAAAGCTGGATGGTTATAAGAGGAGGATTCTTCCTCTTCCTTCATGTGCTTCATTTTGATTCCGAGCACCACAGTTTTTCTTTTTCTTACTTTCTTTTTATTTAGTTTTTATTGTGTTTTTTCCATTACCATTTATTCTCCTTATACTCCCCTCCCCCCAGCAACCCCCACACTGTTGTCCATGCCCATGAGTCCTCCCTTTTTGCTTTTCGTGAACAGCCTCGCCAGATGTATGGAGCAAGAACTTTACAAGCAAATTTATATTTATGTTAATGTTGGGATCTGTCTAAATGTCACTCACAGGTCCTGTACATCATATGAAATGTAAACATTCTAATCTTCATTATGGTACCTAAGTATTCAAAAGCTTATTACACGTGGATTCTGAGGTTAAGATGGCCTCTTTCTGTTAACGGTCTACTATTTAAGACCTTTTTTCCATATTGGCTGTTATATATAGTCTAGGGATAATTACCCAAGAAAGGAATTTTTGTACCCTTTAGAGGACCTTTCAAGTTATAATTTTCAGTGTTAGAGCCTTCTTCTACCCTAGTACAATCTAACTAATCCTTTAAAATGTGAGTAATTACAAGGTAACATTTGCTTTTAAAAAAGCAGTCAGCTTCATGTTACTTTAACATGTTTGGATCTAGAAACTAGCTTTTCTTTTATGTGTCATCATTTTCTTGCAAACTGATTATTTTCCTCTTTCTTTGGTAAGGTTAATAACTGGGAGATGGAAAAACTAGAGATGAAGGATGCAGTAACATTTTTGAAGTCTGAAATCTACTCAACTGAAGCCCCTTCTACTGCTGATGTTAATTTTCAAAGCACGTGTTAAAGTAAAAAACAATCATTTCATATTTGGAGACAGACATAAATTTGTAAAAATAATTTTAATAAAGACTATAATTCAACTGTCAATGGAATTCACTTGACTGCTCACCATAAAAAAAGTGTTACTTCAGTTCACTATCAAAATTAATTTTAAGAATGGAAGAGCTGTGATCACTGACATTTTAGAAAACGTAGGTTTTACTGTTTCTCATTAGCTTTGATGCATTGAAAACTGCTTTCTTGGATGTGGGGGTTTGCAGGTAAGCTGGTGTTTGGATCTATGTGTTTATACTCTTGCTATAGGCTATTTGAGGATTCAGGCATTGGCCACATTTCAAGCATTGGCCACATAGCAATTGGACCAAGTTCTCAAATTGTAGACTATGAGAACCAAGGAGGTAGCAGGTTAGAAATGGGTGAGAATCAGGCACCTGCATTTGTCACGTTCTAGGTGGAGGTGGTTTGTGGGCCACACTAAGAAACACAGATGAGATAACAGAGATGGCAAGGAGTCCACATTTATTGAAACTGACAGGCTGTGAGTTGCTAACCCTGAATTCCTGCCACTATTGAGGTCATTCCTGTCCTGTTCTTCCTCTTTCTCCTTCCTGCTACTTGGTATAGTCTTTTAAATCATAGGCCCCCAACCTTTTTGGTACCAGAGGCCGGTTTCCACCAGCCTGCAGAGGGGGGTGGTGTATGTCAGGAGGCAAAGCTCGGGTGGGGGTGGGGGGGATCAGGAGGTGGTTCCTAACAAGCCATGGGCCAGTACAGGTAGCGGCCCAGGGGTTAGGGACCCTTGTTTGAAATTACGTATAGAGCCCTGGCTGGTGTGGCTCAGTGGATTGAGTGTCTGCCTGCAAACCAAAGGGTTGCTGGTTCAATTTCCAGTCAGGGCACATGCTTGGGTTGTATGTGGGCCAGGTCCTCAGTCGGGGGCATGTGAGAGGCAACCACGCATTGATGTTTCTCCCTCTCCCTCTCTCTCAAATAAAATCTTTAAAATAACTATATATAGCTGAACTGTGTTGTGTGTCAGACTTAAGGACAGTTTTTCAGTTATGTTTGTTCATTCACTTGTGGAAATGCTTGAGTTTGTTACTCAACTATCTACCTCGTATTTGACTTACTGGGGATACAGTGAGTTTCACCTGTGAAAACAGAGTGCCATGAAGTTGGTATTATTTTACTCCCTGTGCAAAAGTCTGAACACACTCCCCAGAATTCAAATGTTGAAACCTAACCCCCAATGTAATGGTATCTAGAGGTAGAGCTTTGGGAGAAGATTAGGTCATGAGGGCTCCACCCTCATGCATTGGATTAAAAGAGACCTCAGAGAGCTCCCTTTTTGCTCTGCCATGTGAGGACAAAGTGAGATGATGACCATCTTGAATTAGGAAGGGGGTCCTCCCCAGAAACAAAATCTCTCAGAACCTTGCTCTTGGACTTCCTAATGTCCAGAAGTGTAGAAATAAATTTCTGTTGTTTATAAGCCACCCAGTCTTTTAGTATTCTGTTAATGTCAGCCTGGATGGACTAAAATACCCCAAACATACGGGCATGCAATAATTGGATATCTTGCTCTATGCCAGGCACTGCTAAGTAGTCACATGTGTTCTCTCTTTTCATGATCTTAATAATAATGAGTTCTCTTAGATGCAGCTGCTCTTATGAATCTCCTAGGTCTCTCGTTCCCTTATCTCTAATATGTGGGTAAATTATTTGCCAACGGTACACAGATAGTTGGGCAGGGCTAGAGTTTGAACCTGAGCTGACATGGGCTTATGAGAGAGAAAAGTAGTCTAGGAGCCCCAGTAAAAATACTCCAGCAATATGACTAACCTGTCAGAGGTCTTATCAACATATCCAGCCTGCATTTAGAAAAGGTTAGAGCTGAAAGAAAATACAGCAATCATTTAGTGCACCTCCCTCATTTTACGGATGAGGAAGTTAAAACTCAAAGAATTTTGTCTCCTCACAGTCTCAGCCACATCCCTGATTGCCACCTCATTTCACCCTCTACTGCTCTTCAGCTGGTGTCTCAGAAAGTCTGCGTTCTGGTTCCAGACCGGACATCATCTAGTTTGGCCAAGTGATTTAACCCTTACAAACTTCAGAACAAGAGTTGAAAATACTCTGTTAATAAAGAAACTAAGATTCATTCTTTAAATTTTAAGTGTGCTGTTTCTTCTAATGGCTAATTATGACTCATTCAAAGGACTGGACCAATTTATGAATACTCATAACTACCTTTTGAGGAAAGTTTTCCTGGATTTGTACGAACTAACATGGCAGGTAAGGCATTGCTCTTTTAATAGTATTTCTAGTAATAGCATTCTCCACTGCTCTGGTCTAAGAAAATCCTAGGAGACTCAAGGCTCAGAGTCAAGAAAACAGTTTAAATAATAATACGTGTCTTCTTAGGATTACTAATATAAGTAAGGATTTACTCCTCACTTCAAGAGAATAGGTAAATATTCTCCTTTATTTATTCAATTGACTAAAAAAGAATCCCCAAACAACCCCAGTTTGATTTGATGAGTTCATTTCTCACACAATGAGACATTAAGTAAGCAAAAAGCAGTTTATAAATCCAAATATTGATTGCTCTTGATGGAATTGCACAATATTTTATATCTTAGTACTATCTCCATTTTCAAAAGGATGAAACCTTTTAGTTTTACTATGTTAACCAAAGGAGTGAATATGAAAGGTATCAATTGATTATGTATATGGCTTGCTTCTGATGTAGGTTTACACTAAGTAATCCACCTTGTGAAAGAAATTAGGTGACTGTAGAAGAAGAATTACATTTTTTGGTCTAATTATATCTTTCTACTTTAATAAGGTTTTTTTTTTTTGTTTATACACATTTAGAGTAGTGTTGAGGTTTTTTAAATTCTTGAACTTGTTGAAAATGTCAATTTACATTATAATTATATCAAGTACACACAAAGGTAAACATCAAGGGGAAAATAAGTGATATATTTATGACATATCTAAATAAAGAGCTCCTATAATTGATAAGAAATACATTGCAAAAGATAAATGAGCAAAGAGCTGATGAACATGAAAATTTTCAGTCTACCAGTAATCAAAGAAATGCACATTCAAACATGAGTGTTTTTGCCTTTCAAATTAGCAGGTTTTTTTTTTTTTTTTTTTAAGAATTGCGGTACTGACAAAGGTGTAATGAGGCAGCACTCACATATGCCACTGGTGGAATGTAAATTAGCACGACCCTTCTGGAATGCACTTTGTGGCTTTTGCCTCTCTCCTTTTAAAAATAGCTTTATTGAAGTATGCTCAACAATGGCATGTATTTAAAGTATACAATTTGATAACTTTTTACCAATTATATGTGTGGGGGGGGGAGGGTCTGGCACAAATAGCGCCCCTTTTTTATTACAAAATCATAGGCACGTAATTCTGTAACACAACAATAACACACCCAAGCACGCCCTCTGACATTTTTTGTGAAATGTCCAAATTAAAACTACAAATTATTACACCCATATTATTACCCTACCAACCACACTCAGGCAGGCATTCCTTCTGCCAGACCCTGTGTATGAAGATATATATATATATCACCAGACATCACCACAATCAAGATAATGAACAAATATACCATTCCTTAAAGTTTCCTCCCTTTTTGCCTTTCCTTTTGTTCCCTGGAAACCACCGATCTGCCTTCTGTCCCTATGGAATGCCCTTTGTATGCATCCAGTGTCTTGAAAATATTGATAGCTATTGCCATTGACCAGTAATTAGATTTTTAATAATCTTTGGGCCTATTTGCATGCATAGTGTATACTTGATAAATATTTGTATTATTCCTACATTCTGTGTAAGGCTTCTTATCACTCCATTGATGACATTTTCCACTTAAGAGTCAAACACTGAAAACTACTTAAATGTTCATCACTAATGGAACATATCTCCTAAACTTGTGCTGCACAAAGTGTGGTCCACAGACCAGCAGTATCCATCTCATCCTGGAGGTAACTAGCAATGCAGAGTCTTGGGACCCATCTCACACCTACCAAACCAGAACCTTCATTTTAATAATATCCCAGGTGATTTGTATGCTCATTAAAATTTGAAAAGCACTGTTCTAAGAAATAATCTTAGGTTTTATTTACTTTATTTTTAGAGAGAGGAGAATGGAGGGAGAAAGAGAGGGAGAGAAACATCAGTGTGTGGTTGCCTCTTGAATGCCCCCAACTGAGGACCTGGCCCACAACCCAGGCATGTGCCCTGACTGGAAATTGAACCACCAAACCTTTGGTTCACAGGCCACCAGTCAATCCACTAAGCCACACCAGCCAAAGCTAAAAAGTACAGTGTAAAGGGTGCATAGAGGTGCATAAAAAGGAAGGGAAGGGATAAAAATGTAGAAAGTGGAATTTGTAAGTAATGGAATTGTGAGTGATTTTAATTTTCTTTACATTTTATTTTTCATATTGTCAAGAATGATTACTATATATGACACTTAAAATTGGAAAACAAATCATTTCTAATGTTTGATTCCCTGAACAGCATTTTGGCAATTAAGGATAATCACTAAGAGCTTATTGTATACGCAAAACTATGGGGTTATAAAGAAGTTAGGCCAGAGATCCTATCAAGTTGCTTATAAGATAAGATGCTATTATTGTGTGTCAGAAGACAGCCCAATGTACAACAAGGCCCAAAGCAGAAGATAAGAGGAGGTCAGAGAGAGAAGAGGTCACAAGGTTGGGTTTTCAGAGCTGGCCGTGCAGAGGAGCATGGATAAGATTTGACAAAATGCAAAGAGGAGCATATATGACCTGAAAATTATTTCAGGTTTTTTAAATGAGGTGGAACAATAGTGGTGGTGGGTAGTGCATATAGTAAATTCTGATAACCTAATTTTAGAAGGAAAGGAGCCAAGAACATTAACCTCTGCCTAGAATGTTAGTGGACAAGTAAACATATAAGAATTTTTTTTAGATTTACTATGATATCTTGTCGCATATGTGATTCTGTGGTATATCTTACAAATTGGCTCATTCTACTCCATTCCAAGCCCTACTTTTTATATGTCATGATGCACATAGAAAATGATAGTGTTTTCA